TAATTGCACTGCCCATTTTAAGCTTTCCAGAGACCCCCAGCCCCAGAAAATTATGCAAAACTTCCAGCAAGTAGCTTCAGGCAGAAATTTACTCCTAGATTTCCACTGTGAAGAATATAACCTAGAGCAGCAGGCATACATGAAACCATAAAGCAGGCATAGATACACCAACAGACCAGTGCATTGCTATGACACTTTCTCAAAGCGCTTCTCCTATGCCATCTGAATATTCCGTAATACAACCCTCTAAAGTGGGTCAATATTATTATTTCTCCATTTGCAGATAAGGCTGAGTGATGGTAGGCTCCTAAAGTCCTCAAGTGAGCACAAGGCTGAGGAGATAACGACCGGGAACTAACCAGCTTGCACTCCACCTTGCTTAGGCCCCTTGGAGTGCATGGAGGGAATTACCCTGAGCTCCACACAGGGGGAATCACTGCAACGTTGCCAAATGGTGCACTCCAGCTGAGGAAAAACTGGCACAGAGTGCAGAATGGAGAAGCGTTAAATGAGCATTCAGCCCCTGGGCCTCTGAGTGTCTTAGAAAGGGCCTTGTATTAGTCACTATACGACTTCCTTCCTTCCTTCTCCAAACATATGGCCTGCCTTAATTGAAAGTCGCTGCATTTTAAGCACCACTTGCTCTCAATAAGCCTTTTGTTTCACATTCCCTGTTTTTCGTGTTTGCTGTGGCCAAGACAACTGATGGAGACTTTGATGGAGTTAGCAGTCCATGTGGGGTCTGGGGGCCAATGAAGATTTAAGTCGCTCTCCCCACACATTTTTTAACTTTGGGATCAGTGTTGCACCCCTTCCATAAACCAGGGTGTTATCCTGGAGGCTGTAGCCCTGGATTCCAAGCAGGTTAGTACACAAACTCTGTGCACAGAATCCCCAAACTCTGTGGGGTGAGGGGGTAAGCCCATCTTCCTTCAGGGGCTCTGTGCATTCACACAGAGGCACATAGGAATGGGCAGAGGACAGATCCAGCTGGTAGGAAAGTAATGCAACCTAATGATTCCCCATACTGGGGTGCTCCGATTCACATGTTACCTCACTCATCACTCCAATGACCTTACACAGGCCACTTGCTATTTTGGCTTCTCAACTGCAATACATTGCATTGTAGACATGCAATAATAAATAAAGAGGAAGTGCACTGTCACACCTGAGTAATCACACTTCATACCAAAATAATAATAATAATAGTAGTAGTAGTAATGATAATGATCAGATGCATTTCATGTCACAATGTAGGAAGCTATAAAGCTTACTGTCACTGACTTGGTTTGCAAGATCACAGAGGTGGAAATATTTCAGCAAAGCTTGTTTCTCCCAGTCCATGCCAGGAGGGGGATTAGCATAACTACCCACCCTGGCTTAACTTGCCATGTCATGCAAACCAGGCAAAGGTGGCTTGTAGTCCTGGCAGTTTGTTTATTTATTTATTTAAAGTTTTTATATGCCGTCCCCTTGCTACATAGCCTCTGGAGGGCTCACAAAAGTAACAAAACAATAACAATTACAATTAAAACCTGGAAACACACTGGCTGCACAATTAAAATATATAAATATTAAACATGATTAAAATACTGTTTGAATAAAAAGGTCTTTGCCTGGCGCCGAAAAACAAATAAAGATGGCGCCAGGTGGACCTCTCTGGGGAGCGCATTCCACAGATGGGGCGCCACTGCAGAGAAAGCCGCTGTTGCAGGATTCTGGGATGGCAACGGGCTGTCTTCACCAGGTTTGCCTGATATGGCAAGCTGCAAGCTGCCTCAGCACAGATAATTATGCAAATCCTCCCAGCTCTTGAGTGGAACACATGGCAGGGGAAATGAGCCACCATGGAATATTTCTGCCTCCACTATCTTGCAAGCAGGCTGATTGTCTCTCAGCCCAGTCTGTCTGACAGGGGTTGTTGTGAGGATGAAAAGGACTGGGGGAGGAACACAAAACCCCTGAGCTCTCTTGAGTAAGGGTAGGGTAAATATGTGATCTCATAAATAATAGCAGCATATGTTATTAGGTTGTTTTAAATGAAATTACGGAGGTAATTTGTGTGAAATAGTGTGAACTCTATAAAGCAGTGTATCAATACTACGTCTAAGTATTGCTTTTGATCCTTATGTCCACAGCAGATGGGGAAAGTGCTTGTGTGACTATAAGCTGACAGCTCTATGTGTGATTTGCTCTATTGTGTGCTATATTTTCCCACACAACTGCTCATTTATGCATTATACTTTCCCTGGTAGGTATGTGCACCATCAAGGTTCGGTTGTGGGAGAAAATCCCCATTGCCCAGGGTTGTAAACAGTTTTGACACATCCTGTAATTCACAAATAGCAGTATCAACTTTAATTCTATTGCCAGAGGCTTCACTCAGTTAAAACAAATTCTTAAAATGTTTTTGACTTATCTAGCTTGTTACCAGCAACATTGTAATGGCTAGTGCTAACAATGTGATTGTCATCTGCAGTATTTTGAGCATTGCGTTTCCCCCAGACCTCATTGCTTAACAATTCCCCATCTATTCCTAAACCGTATGTACTGTATTAAAAATAACCCTATAAATCTCCATAATAATCCATCTGATGACTAAAGTCCATGAAAGAATAAATTCAGTATTTAAGGTGCCACAGGACTGTTTGTTGGTTTTGCTGCAATAAACTACCCTTATAGCTCCTGTTTGCATAGTCAGGAAATAAATTTAAATAATCCCAAGATAACATGCAGTGTCACCATGATCAAGCATAGTTAGAAGGGGGAAAGAACAGGGACAATTTCCACAAGGTTTACAACAGGGCTGGGGCCCCTTGGCTGGCAGGCCAATTTGGCCAGATCTCCTTGAAGCCCTTCCCACTTCCCAAAGGCCGGTCTCCTCAAAGGGGGCAGCTTTGGCTGAGTTCTAGGATCTGGTGGCATCCTCCATGTGCCTCCAAATACTGCTGTTAGTATGCCAGGACAAAATGACTGAAAGCGCTGCCATAAGATGTCTGCTGAAAGCCTGACACTGTAAGAACAGCCTTAGACATGTGGTGGGATTTTGATCCATGTTGCAAGTCTGGTGCCCATATGCTGAGTTATGCCCATCCTGAAGCTGCTTCCTTATGGTACACTTTAGATATGCTCATGTTTATTTGTCTTGAAATAAGTTCTTCCTTTCATGTGTGTCTTAATTCAACCCTTTTTGTTTTACTCTCATGTGTCTCTAGCAAAATGCCTCCCCCAAATTGTACATGCAGCTGATAGGTTATCAAAGCTATAACCTATGGTCTGTTGGGCCATTTTGTTTCAATATTTTAACGAACAAGCTAATACATTTCTCATTATCCAGCAAGTATGCTGAGGATACATCATCCTGTCCTTTATTTTTGATAGTACCAATTCACTTGTAATCAGATAACTTGTGTGGCCTGAAGCTTTTCAGTACAATTCAAATGCTGGATGGTAATATTTCAGAAATTAGGCAACTGTCCTCTTCTGAAGCAGATGTTTAAGTGAAGTCCATTAGCTCTTGACATATTTTAACCACAGTGTGCTAGTCGTGACTATAATAGTTATAAGGCAATAAAAGAGCTATTTCAATAATGCACATGGGTGTATGTGTATGTTTTCAATTAAGTCTGCAGTCCTTTGTGTTTACCTAAGGAGTTTGCCCCATTTAACATTCTGTGTCTCATTCTGGATAAGCATGATAGGATTGCACTGCATGATCCTAGAAGTAGGTTCTTGATTATTTGCTCCAGGACAAAGATCTAAGCATGGGGAACACGAAACCACTTCTTGCATCGATTTTCCTTGACCATGGAATGATCTACTCCCTGGACGTTCTTCAGTCTTTCTTTTGGTCTTCCAGAAGCAATACAAACCCATTTCTTGCATTTGGCATTCCCCTCAGCTGTGCAATTTGTTTGCTCAGCACTGCTTCCTGATTTCCTTGGAGGTTTGTTTGTTTGTTTTTGGTGTCCTGTCTTCAGCAAATGGAAAACATTTTTCAATAAAATATAGTAATAATTAATAAACAAATCTGATCACAGAAACTTACCCTCCCCTAGTTGTCACATCACAGAACTTCATCAGAATTGCAATTGTTGTTTTGCTATCACCTGCCTTCCAGGGTTAGTCACTCCCAGCACCTGAAAGTTTGAGAAAGTGCTGCAGTCTGGGAAACTTGAGGGCAAGGCCAGATTTAAAGATAGGTTGTCAGCCCCTAACAATTAACTGCTCTCCATTTCTCTCTCATACACACATATCTTGCAAAGTGCTCAGTTTATAAACTTTAAATGATTTCCCCTTCTGTACTACAGCCATTAAAGCACTTGTACCATTTACAACCTTACAAGAGCTATTAAACCTCAGAAGTCTCTGTAGTTTGGATAATAGCCATGCAACTGCACAGAACTGTGTTGCCTGGTCAGCCATGGTGCAGAATTAAAGGAACAGCAACCCACATGGAAGAGTGCGTGTGCTACTGTGGGAGAGAAACGGTTGCCCAGATGTGCTCTGTGCTTACATTTGTCTCCACTGAGGCCTGGCAGTCAATTATTTTTCGGGACATTTGTACCAGTCTTTGTTCTTTGGGGTCATTTTTCAATCAAGAAGCTTTAAGAAGCAGATAGAGGGCGATAGGTTCAAAACATTTAGTTGCATAAAGCAGACAGAGTGACACCATTCTCATTCCATATACAAAAGGTGATCAGATACACAGTTGAATCTTATATTACCACTGCTGACTGGACCAGCATCATGCCTGGGAGCAGCCAGCTAGATTAGTAGGGAAATGGCAGGTCACCTGGAATACCTAGCTTGTCCTCTAACACCTTGCTGCTGTTGGCCCCCTGTATCTGCTTCCTGAGGTGTTTACTTCATGCTGCCTTGGGGTAAGGACAGTCCAGTTGATGGGGGATGCTTGGAAGGTATTATTCAAGGCACACTCAGACAAGCATTTATCAGACCATTAAGTCGTTTCTCATTTTAATTTTTATTTCCAGTTTCAAATTTTCTACAAGAAAACAATAAAAAAATAGAAAACTCTAGAAGTTGTCAAGCTCCCCAATGTGCCAGGTCACTATAGAAACAAAGCTTTGTTGCTAGGTCACTACGGAGATAAGATACTGGTACAGGGTCACTTGCTACACACACAAGAGACCGTGGCACCTGGATGCTGTGGAGATGAGGTCCCATTACAGGTACTTGGAAGCTCCCTCAAGCCAAGAGTGGTTCTTGAGGCCTGCCCTGCCTCTGTGGCACCTGACAGAGTAAACAGCCTAACGGGGACAGGATTCCTGCGTAATGAATAGGTAGACAATGGAGAATTTTGCCCAGTTCAACTTTCTTCTTCATAGTAGCACAATGGAGGGGGAAGCTGCTCATGCAGAAATTCTCCATTTACAAAACCTTTCAAGGTATGAAACAGGAATCTTGTCCCTCATGGGACCTCTCTGCCTTGCATTAGTGCCATGAACGAGGGCCTATAAGGGCCCAATTCCTCAGACAGTGGCAACAAAAGGAAGCAGCCTCAAGCCCAGAACTGAGGCGAGAACAAGGGGTTGGAATCCAACGTACCACAACCACCTCACCCTGAAACCCTGTTTGATTTTTTAAGACTGCCACTGCATTACTGCCCCTTAACAAATCCCATACTTCTGCCATATCCGTTTCTTTCTTCTACCTCCCAGGGTTGGAACTTTCCCCATCCCACCATCCAGTTTTCATGGTGGGGCTCCTGTGCTCTTAACAGCTGCACGACAGAGAACATCCGCACCACCTGAACTTGTGAGTGCTGTTAAAAACAGAAAGCTGTGTCAAAGTTGATACCCCAACTACCTTCTATGGCAGCACCTCTCACAGGTGGGCACATGACCCTACCATTTGTGGGGTAGCATCTTAAGAGGTCCCTCTCCTGGTCTCTGCGCATCTACACTACAAATGTAAACAGGTCTGAAACTGGTTTAATGGTCTTATGAAGCTGCCTTTTCATTTGAGCCAGACCACTGGTCCACCTTGACCCATACTGTCTGCTTTAACTGGCAGTGTCCATTCAAGGTCACAAGCAGGGGGCGTTCTGAGCCCTGCTACCTCTTTTAGCTAGAGATATAAAGGATGAAACCTGGGACCTTAAGGCATGCAAAGCATGTTGCTCTACAACTAAGCTATGGGCTCTCGAAGGCCCCTGCCCATGAATGCTGGGGACTGTAGTTTTGTAGGTGTTCAGGATTCTTTAATGGAGAATAGGACTTTCGTGGAATAGAGCTACTGCTGCCAGGGTCCCTTGGTTGGAAGTCATCACGACAGTTAAACAGGTTCAGAACTGCTTTCTGTGTGCAAGGCAGACACATTCAGGCCTGCACTGGCTCCAACTGCAATTCCATCAGGCCTTGGCCTGTCTTGGATGCCTCCTGGTGAGACCCCTTTTGGATCATGGGGCTTGGCAACTTCTCCTTGGGTCTTGGCTCCTCAGAGTCCTGAGACAGGCCCTCCCAGCCTTGCTGAGCTGGCACAGCTCCAGGAGAGAGACTGGCCACTCTTGCTCCATCGGGGTTCCGCTTCCTTCGAGGCAACTCAGGCCTGGGAGGTTCCCCCTGGCCTTCAGAATGCCAGAGGTTCAGAGCTTTGGTGGTCTCCCCCTTTGGGCTCAGGGACTCAGGTCCTTTCAGCTGGGGGCTCTGAGGCTCAGGCACCTCATCCTCCACCACCACCTGAGGCTTGGGGGCCGTGTGGGAGCAGCGGCGGGTACGAGCTTTTCGGCTATGATGGACCTGAAGGTGTAATTCCATGAGCTCCGGAGCGGAGGTGGCAAAGGGGCAGAACTGGCAGCGGTGAAGTGCTCCTCCTGCCAAGGCTGGGCGCAGCGACAGGTCCAAGGGCTGGAAGTCGGCCTTCCCATTTAGCAGCGGCTTGCGGCGGGATGGGCGGGACCGAGCTGTGCCCGAGCCCCCCAAAGGGAGGAACTTCCCTTGGCTCTTGGCGAGCTGTGCAGGAGGAAAGGCAGGGACTGCCGTGGGAGCCAGGGGTACGTGGCATCGTTCCAGTGTTCCTGCAGCAGCAGCAGCTGCGGCAGCAGCGGCACTCTTCTGCTCCCGGTGATGACGCTGCAGGTGGTACTTGAGGGACCCAGACTGGGTGCCAGCATAGTCACAGTGAGGGCATTTGTATGGGCGCTCGCCTGGAAGAAGAAATTGGAGAGACACATTGGCAAGGCAGCTGCTTGGTGTTTGTTTTATTCTTTGGCATCTATTTCCTGTTGTCTGGAGAATACGACTAGTGTGCCAAATTTGCGTCTGCCAGTTCATAGTTCAAGCTGCATCTCTGCCATAGACCCACCAGGTGCCTTGGAATCAGTTTTGTGCAGCGCCCCCAATCCTTAAAGCAGGCATAAACACAACCTTGTGGAGTTATGACACATGTGAAGAAAATGAGGGATTTAGGTTTGAGCCTTCGGTTTAGCATCTTAAGATTTACACAGTGATTGAGATCCACCGGGCAAGCCCTTCCTCCAGTTTCCATTGGTCCAGAAGGTTAAACTGATGAGTGGACAGAGCAGGATCTTTTGGTTGCAGAAGCACAACTTGGAATGTCATCTCTAAGACAGCCCACCAAAACCTCACCCTGCAGGCAACCAGGTAACTAAGTGCAAAGCATCCTTGCAAATAAGGATTTTGGCTAATGGGTGAGATACAAAGCTAATAAATAAATAAATAAGCCTATAACAATTATTTGTACATAACAATTGCTAGCCTGTTCATGAAGTATTATGAATTCATTTTCAATGCTATGATTTTAAAAGGTGCTGAGAAGCCACTTTGGGAGCAAGATAGGTCTGTCAGCAAAAAGAAAAGCCAAATGGGATGATGAGGCTCTTCTACACAGAAGACCTCTGCACAGGTATGGTTCCCACCTGCACACCCAAGTTGTGCTTTCATGCAGCTGTGTATCCCTGATGAGGCCAAAAATGCCAACCTCTGGTGATGGTCTGTGCTATGCCCCATGTTGTAATTGTGAGATGCCCCGAGGCTTTGGCAAATGGGGTGGCATAGAAGTTCCCTAAATAAAATAAATAATAAATAAATAATAGGAGGGAGGATGCTATTTGGATTTCCTCACCTTGGACCCCGATCCAGGTGATAAGCCGCCATAAGGTATTAATTTCAGTACAGCAGAAGGGGAGGGAGTTATATTAAGCAGAAGCTGTATGAGCTGTTCCAGTGCTGCAGGGCTTTGGAGGAAGAGTAAGCTGGCAAATTTTGAGAAAATGATCCTCAGTGCCCCTTCCACCCATTTAAGGCAACCTCTGCCCACCATTGCTGCTTTCAGATCCTACCTGTGTGGACCCGGAGGTGAACCTTGAGATGGTGGGAGGATCTGAAGGACTTTCCACAGAATGGACAATCTTTCCCTGTGCCCCTTCGGGATCCATCCAGGCGCGACTGCCCCTGCATATCTGAGAATGGCACCGTGAGAAGGGAGGGAGAATTTTAGTTTGAGATGGGAAGTTTTCTCTCTTACCCCCCGTTTGGTCTTTGTCCTGTTTTCTCTCACCATTTTGTCACATTTTTGATTGCGAGAGTTGTAAAGAACCCTTTTCCCGCACACACCGCCTACTGCCAGTGCTCCATTATCCCACCCTAGCAAAGACAGTCTCCTTTAGGCAGCTGTGATAACTGTATAGAAATATACTCCAACTTAAACAGCTGCAGAGGAATTATGATTGCTTTGAACTGGAAAGAAAAAGGCAGCAGTAACGGAAGAAAGGCCTCAGAAAAGATTATATATAAAGCCTGTGAGTAAAATCATGGTGATTGTTCATGCATATTTAGGAATGGAAAATGCTGTGCAGTGGAATTCAAGAAAACAGCCGTCCTTTTGTCAGTTTTTGGAAACAGAAATATAGGAAGGATAATTTACAGTAGTTATGGTAGGAACATCTGGGACTGGTTTTAATCCAGGAGGATATGTTCTGCTCATTAAATTAACATTTGATTGCACTGTAATCCTTTCTGTCTCTCCCTTTTTCTTTATTGTTACATAGTTGGTGAACATACTGATCAAACATAATAATTTGAAAAATAAAGCAAAGCAATGCTCCAGCATAGTTTGAGTGGAAAAATTGTCCAGTCCCTGCAATCTGAAATTAAAATCCTATGGACAGCATTGACTTCATGGGCAAAAAATTCAAAAAGGGACAAGATTTCTGTAGCTTGCTCTAGAAGAGAGAATTTGGGCGCTTCATCACTGTAGCACTATTGTGGAAGAAGCTGGTTCTACACAACTCCTTTTTACTTATATGTTGCAGAAGGACCCTCTGCAGATCAGTATATTTTTACCAAGAACTCTGAAGTCCAACAACCAGAGCCAGAAGCAAAATAGTGGCTTAAAGTGAAGAGTGGCATGAGAGATGTACACTTAGGAGCTTCCAGACAGAGGGCTCTGCTTAAGCCTAGTGCTAAGTCTCAAAATGCATTATAAATATATTTCATTTTTTCCTCCTTAAAGTGTTTCATCCAGTAAGAAAAAAGACAAAACGAAGCAGTGGTAGAAACACCTGATAGGGGTTACAGATGGAAGAGGAGGTCACCCAGATTGCTCACACAATTCAGTGAATAAAGGCGACCATTGCAAGATAAACACCTCAACTGGAATTAGGAAAAAAGGCATCTCTGAAAACATTCTCAATCCAGAAACACTTTTCTGTTCCAAAATCCAAATTTATGTATCAAAACTGAACTCATAATCCTTTCACTGAAAATTCCATTCTTTGTTTTCTTCCAAGCTTTCTTAGGGGCAGCAGCCTAACTTCCTCCCTTTCTTCCCCCTTTCCTTTTCTTTCCATGTCCTGTATTTTTAAACTGTAAGCCTGCAGGCAGGGATCATCTTGCTTAAATGATGATGCAGAAGCTATTCTGGGAACCTTTAAGGCTGAAGAACAGCACAAATGTACAACACCATCTTGGAGTTGGAAAACTTTTTTGTTGTTGCAAGGGATGAAACATTGTGTCTCCTTTGTTAACAGATCCTTTTTTCCCAGAGGGACAATTACACCAAGAAAAAGACCCTGCCCTTCCTGAAATTCCAGAAAGGCACTTGAGACTTCATGGTCTTTTCAGTGGTAGCACCAGAAGTTTGGGATAGGGGTTCACATGGATCATTCTGTTTTAGCCTCCCAAGTGTTCTTCTGTTTTTGATTTGGCTGTTAATGTTTTTTTAAAGGGACTGCAGGTGGCGCAGTGGTTTAAACCGCTGTGCTGCTGGGCTGGTTGATCAATTTTTTTTTAAAAAAAACTTTGTTTTTATTATAGTTTTATCATTGCTGTGTATTGTGTACTCTATTGTATCTTTTAATATTTGTATATTTTATATTGTATGTTTCAGTATTTTTGTAAGCCACGTGTGTGTCTTCTGATTAAAAACAGGAATCATACTAATAGTAATAATAATGGGGAGGCAGTTAAGTCCATCAAAAAGGATCTCTCTGTACCCTGAAAAGCCATAAACGCTTCCCATAAGATGCGTCCTCAGCCTCTGGAGGGATTTTCATTCTGTCTTCCTATCCTAGTTGAACATTAGGCAAACATTATGATTATGAATGGGATGGAGGAAAGGGGTTGGAGGGCACTCACAAGCCTTTTCAATGCAGGTTGCTCTTCCGTCTCACCATGATCCTTTCCCTCCTCTTTCATGCCATAGTTTTGGTGACAGTGTCCCCAGCTGGATGCTCTCCAGATAAACTGCAGGGCAATTCACATTATCTCCAGCCATTGCAATCACTAGTCAAACTGGTTGGGGATGATGGGATTTGCAGTTCAACACAACTGGAAGAAACCAGGTTGGGGAAGGCTTCCTATGCAGTCAGAAGGAAGAAGAAATAACCTGTATGGGAGGTAATGCAGAAGTGGGCAGTGGCAAAATCTTGGGTACTTGCCACTACTGATGTCCTATTGACCACTTTAGTATTCGTTTATGTTGGCCTTCTTGGGGAAAATGAAAATATATAGTGGCTTACAGAAGCGTTCACCGCACCCCTTTTGACTTTTCCCCATTCTGTCATGTTACAGTCTGGATTTGAACTGGATGTAACGAGAATTGTTAATGCTTGATATACAGAAGATACTCAACACTGTGAAGGTGCAAAATGTTTATTGTGGCACAGAAGTTAAGTAAGCAAAATCAAACTGGTGTTTGTTGGTTGCATAAATATTCACCCCTTTGCTGTGATATGGCTAAATAAGTTCTGGTGTAACCAACTGCCTCCAGAGCACTATAAGAAGCTGGATGGAGCCCACCTGTGTGCAATTCCATTGCTGCATGATTTCAGACAGAACACTCCTGTTCCTGGAATAACCAAATTTGTTGGAGAGCATATCTAAACAAACAGCAGCATGAAGAGCAAGAAACTATCAAAACAACTCCAGGATTAAGTTGTGCAAAACTAGTAATCAGGGCTGGCATATATTAGAAAGCCTCCCAAAATATGAACATTCCTCAGAGCACCATTAGGTTCACTATTAAAAAACATGGACGGAATATGGCTGAACTGTACCCTGCTAGAGAAAACTGTCCAACAAACCTCAGCACCTAGGTAAGAAGGGTGTTAGTTAGAGAAGCATCCAAGAGGCCAACGGTTATTCTGAAGGAGCTGGAGATCTACAGATGAGATAGGAGAAACTATCCACATGACAGTAATGACTTGGAAGCCCCACAAAGCTGAGCTTTATGGAAAAGTGGGGAAAAGAAAGCCATTGCTGAGTCTGCAAAAAGGTACGTGGGAAACACAGCAAATGAAAGGTTCTTTGGTTCGATGAGGCCAAAACTGGACTTTTCAGCTTTGCTGCAAAGCACTGCGTGTGGCACAAAGCCAACAGTGCTCATTGTCCTGGGAACATCAATCTCACAGTGAAGCTTGGTGGTGGCAACATCATGAGGCAGTATCATGTAGTGGGGATATTTTCCTCAGCAGAGACTGAAACAGGTCAGGATTAAGGGGTGGAGTCAATTCTACAGGGATTCTAGAGGAGCAATTCTAGAAGAAAACTTATTTCAAACTGCAGGAGACCTGGGACTTGGGGATTTACCTTCCAGCAGGACAATGACCCTAAACACACAGCCAAAGTAACACTGGAGTGGTTTAGAAACAAGAATCTGAATGTCTTAGAATGGCAGCATCAAAGCCCAGACCTCAATCTGATTGAGCATCTGTGGTAAGACTTGAACATTTCTGTTCAGCAGCAGTCCCCCTCCAATCTAAAAAAGCTAGAGCAGTTTTGCAAGAAGAATGGGCAAACACTCCAGATTCCCAAGAATATTCATTGCTGCAATTGCTTCAAAAGGTGCTTCTACTAAGCATTGATTCAAAGGTGAGTACCATGCAACCAACACATGCCAGTTCATTTTTATTTACTTAACTTTTGTGACACAACAAAAAGATTTTGCACCTTGACACCTCCTATGCCAGGTGATAGCAATGCCAATTAAATCCATTTCAGTTTCAGGTTGTAAGAGAAAGGAAATGTCAAAAAGTCAAAGCAGGCAGACTACTTCTGCAAGGCACTTTACATGAATAAACACATACAGAGTACAGAAGGAGACCAACATGAACCTGTGTCAACATGCCCTTGGGTAGAAAGAAAGCTAATTTAGCACACTAAATAGAATACTCTCGAAGTATAATTTCCAGTTATTCTAACTCATGCAGCAAATTCCAGCTCTTGCCACCTGAGGGCACATTTAAGTAACACATCCGCAATTCAAAAACGATACTGTAAAATCACCTCATGGAAGTGACGCAAGAGTTAAAAACAAAACAATAAGCTGTGCGCCACATTTGAGGATTAGCTCATTTCTATACCACAGACTTCAACTGGTTTAACAGTCATTCCCTTTAATCAGGAATCCCAAGGAACTGTAGTTTTGTCGAGGGGTTTTACAGGTCTCAGAATTTTCCTAAGACCCTCCCCAAAACAGAGCTCCCCAGGGTGTCTCGAGGAAGCTAGAACAATGAACCTGGGTGAAAATGATATATGCCAGTTATGCAATAAGGAGGAATAGAATAGACACACACAATATAGCATTCATAAATGTGACCTGTTTTTTCAAGACACATTCAGTTTTCTTCATGCAGAATTCTGGGTGTGTATGAGTACAGAGACCTTATGACACCAGTGTCTCCAAACAAACAAAAATTGCAGAGCTTTGGAGATGTCGCAAATATCCAAACTCTTATTTTAAATGCTGAGAATATGTGTCACACAAAACTCTTCCCTAGGCTGAGATCAAATCTGTAAATAATGACACCAGGTTTCCTGACACTTTTGGGACACACTGAGTCTGGCTTGTTTTCCTTTTTTCCCCCACAACAGGCCACCAATAGCTATCCTTGCTTGTACGGGCAGATTACGTAAGTGAACCTTATTTCTGAACTAGTATATAGGGTGGAGAGTAAAAATTACATTCTTAGGCCAGCATTTACGAAAGTGTTTTAAAACACATCAGTGGCCACATGTGCAGAAGTGAATGCTGTGGTGCGTAACCACTACAACTGAAGAGGGCAGCCTGGCTGGTGTACGGTGAAGGCAAAACCCACAGTGCGTTGCACTGGCAGGCACCAATGACATAATCTGCCAGCTGCAGAGCCTGTGAGAGGCCTTATGGCAGCCTTCCTTAAGCTGGTCCCCTCCAAATATCTTGGCTAACTCGCAGCATCCCCCATATCTGCAAGGAGCTAGATCGGGGAAGGATGTTTAGGGATCAGGCTTTCCAGCCTTGCAGCAAAGATAGGTCCCCTATTTATGCAATTCCTTCCTTCCTGGGTTTTTTTTGGGGGGGGTGGGGGGCTGGTTTGAAGAAGAAGTTCTGTATGTCTGAAAAGCTTGCTTTTCACTTTTAAAATGTGACTTGGTCTAAACTGATGTGTCATTGCTTTTGCTTCTTGTTTGGAAAGATGAATGTCAGGTGCACACATTTGTGCAGAGCCAACCTTCCCACCCCAAAATTTGTTTATTTATGTAAAACTTTTTAAGACTGTCTCTTACTGAAGTCTTGGGATGGATTCAGAATAAGACAAAAATTAAAATAAGACAGATTTCCTGTCTGCCCAGGCTTTCCCCCTGCCTGTCCATACTTGCCCTTCTCCTCCTGGGTCAGCAGAGCTGGGTTGCTGTTTCCTGCGGCCGAGGCACGCACGTTTGCGGGCAGCCAGTGTCCTGCGGGAAGCTGAGAGCCCAAGGACTGTCCCTTGCTCCACTCTCGCTCGCGGGGCTGGTGGCTCTGCCGGTGCAAGGCCATCTGCTGGAATGTTCCGAAGGTCCGGGCACAGTCCGGGCAGCGATGGCTCCCTCCCGGGTCTTCTCTCACAAGCTTAGGCCCCCCTGTGTACGGCCGCTCCCTCCAGTGCTGGCCACTCTCCACAGCCCGCGCTGTGGCTTGCAGGCGCTCCGCACAGCTCGCATCACCGTAGCCCAAGAAATTCCCTGCGCCAGCCTTGTCAGTGGGCAGAGGGGAGAGGAGTGAAGGGTACAGTGCCTCGCAACCCACAAGCAGGCTTTGGGCTGACCGCCCGGGCCCCGGCCCGGGCCCCGGCCCTCGCTGCTCACTCTGGAGGCCCAGCTTGCTGAGGTGGACCTTCATGTGGTTTTTGAGGAACCACGGTTCCTTGAAGCCACGCCCGCACACCTGGCACTTGTGGTCGAAGGAGTCTTTGTGCTTCCGCATGTGGCCCTTGAGGAACCAGGACTGGGTGAAGGCTTGGCCGCACACCTGGCAGCGGAACTCGGTCGGAGTGGCGGCAGGAGGTGTGGCGGGAGTGCAGGCCGGAGGGGCGGGCAGGGCCTTCGTGGGGGCGACAGGGGCAGGAGGGGTATGTGGCCTCACCGCAGGAAGGCCGTGAGCCTGCTGGTTGTGCCACTGCAGCTCTGCCTCCTGGGCGGCCGCAAAGGAGCACTGCCCACACTTGTACGGCTGATGGAGGATACGGAGGTGGCGCTCCCGCTCGCCCGCCGTGCGGAACTTGCCCTTGCAGAATGGGCAGCGGAAAGTAGGCATGGGTGGAGGTGGAACAGGAGCAACAGGGCCCCCCTCCTCCTCCTCCTCCTTCTCCTCTTCCTCCTCTTGGCCCCGCAGAAGCGCCCGCTCCTCCAGCTCCAGGAGCAGGCGGCTCTGGTGGCTGAGGCGGGCCCGGGCCTCAGGGCAGTGAGAGCGCAAGTGGAGGCGCAGGCTGGCCCGCTGGCCCGCCCGATGGCCACAGTAGGGACAGGTGAGAGGGTAGGAGCCGGTGTGGATGCGTGTATGCAGGGCCAGGATGCTGTTGAAGCGGAAGCGCTTGCCGCAGATGGGGCAAGGGTAGGGGCGGGCCTCACCCCCGGGGCCCCCTGGCCCGTTGGAGTAGCGCTGCAGGTCCAGCTCGCCATTGAAAGCCAGGGTGTCAGCTCCATCGCAGGAGGAGGAGGAGGAGGAGGGAGAAGGCAGAACCACACTGGCTGGGTTGGCAGAAGGCAACTGGTAATCTGCGCCCTGCAGGAACAAGGAGGGGAAAAGAAAGCTGGAATACACTTTCCCTGCTAACCCGTTTCCCGCACCACTCAGGTGCCACTGTAGCCCTAAGCATTTCCTTCCACAAGGAGAATGGGGTTAGGGTTCCTACAGCAGAAAGCTGGGACTGTGGACTTCCCCACCAGTGTCTGAAACACAAACACAAACCCTCCCTCCTGAAGGCAGGCTTCCTCAGGAGGGGGCAAAACACAAGTTACCTCCCCAGAGCAGCAGAGTCAGCAGACCTCCTTTTCCACAGAGCAGTTTGCCACCTGGCAGCTGAGAACACTGCCAAATAATATTCTCATGTTTATGACTGGGAGGTGAAAATTCTGCTTGATGGTTAAGAAAATGTGGTCTTTGGCTACAGAACATACCAACAATCCATAACAATCTTCTCTAATCTGGTGCCCACTAGATGTTTTGGACCCCATCTCCTTTCAGCACTGCCAACAGCTGGTATGGCTGTCCAAAAACTGGAGGCCTGGAGTTGGTGAAGGCTGCTCTAATGACTTGCTTGGCAGCACAGAAAATGGGTGTATCTCTATAGCAATGTCCAAAGGGGAAGAGATGGTGGAATCTGGTGGTGGACACATTCCAACTCATGGTTGGAATGAAGAGATACAGATGTTCTCCTGGCTTGAAAAATAAGACAGTGGGCCTGTAAAAGCCACTGCGAAAGTGAGGTGAGCTTTACAAACCCCAGAAGTTCGCCAAGGGCTGGAAGTAAAATCAGAAGCGGAAAAGGACTGCCAGCTTCTCTAGTCCCTCCATCTTTTCCTACTGGATTTAATGGACCATTATAGCTCCATTACATTCGATCAGGTTCTCTGGAGGAGATGAATTTCCCCAACCTCATGATTTGCTCCTGCAGCCTCTTAATTCCTGTTTTCAATCCAGCTTGATAGCTTTCTGCCCCTCTGGCCCTGCCTTCACTCCACTGGGCCAACTGGACTTTAACATAGTAGACATGTCTTGAGCAGAGCTGGCTGGAGCTGGGGTCAGACTAGATGGCCTAGGAGACCTCTTCTGACTCGCTCTATGTAACTGACATCAGCTGGCCTGTGAGGAGGATCCCAAAGACTTGCTCACTCAGCCATGAAACCCACTGGGCCTGTCACTACCTCTCAGCCTAACCTACCTCACAGGGTTCTTGGTGGAAGAATAAAATGGAGAGGAGGAAAACTTTGTGAGCTGCCTTGGGTTCCTTGCTAGAGGAAGAAAGGCTGGCTACAGACATAATACAGCAATAATAAAAATAAAGGAATCAGTTCATACTGTTTGATCCAGATCTTGGATTCCACTTGAAGCTATCATCTAAACATGTTCCCTCCCTTCCTTGAAAGCAACAGAGCTCAGTCACTCCATGGCAATCAATGGGGAGAAGGGAGAAATTAAGTAGTCAAGAGATGGATCTTTTTTCTAGGCCTTGAATCAGCTCAGAAAGGTTGTACAAGCTCTTCCAGTTTTGGAGCAGGATCAATCATGGATCCTTTCTGGGAACATATAAGCTGAGAGGAGGATAGCTCGCTCATGTCTAGTTGGGACAAGGGGCTAATAGGTGTGTCTCTGTGTTAGCACAATGGAGCGTGGGGCAGTGGGGGGGGGGGCACCTGAGACCTTCTCCTAACCAGCCTGGTGTTCAGTCTCCAGCCACTCACCTCCATGGTGCTCCTGATCACATGCTTCAGTTGTTGATTGGTGAAAGGGCAGCCCACGGTAGGTAACTTGACATGTCACACCTAGCAGGTAGGTAGGCAGGAGCATGGGCTGCAGGAAAGTGGAAGCAGGGAAGAAGATGAGAATTTTACCATGACAGGATATGGGCACAGCTGCCATTTTGTAGTTCCCAATATCTAACAAATCCAGGAAATTTCATTTGCAAAGGCTTCACTGGGCCTTAACCTGTACCTTTACTGCCAAGGTTCAGCCATGACACGTTTCCACTGCTGGGGGCTTCGACTCTGACGCATATAAAGAATGGAACAAAAGTACCTTGAAAGATGTTCATGAGCGGGGGTGCTGAACCTTAGGGGTCAAATCTGGGACACCAAATCTGGTTCCCTGCATGGCCCCCTCGCTTTCCCTCTCACCACCCCTTGCTGTCCTGGCTTTTGTGCAATCCCCCCCTCCTTTCTAAACTGCCTCTCCTTCATTATTGGCAATGAAAGCTTTAAACTAAACCATGCTGGCAGCTTAATTCTGCTGCTTTTATCTTCAAGCCAGTCCACCGCTGGATTGTGGTCCTCGAGAGATTCTCCAAAAGTGGATCCAGCCCTTGGGCTGAAAGAGGTTCAAGTTCAGTGATGCAGAAGTATCCCCACAAATCAGAGCAATAATTTCAGTGAGTGAAGAAAGGTCTCTTTCCACATGGATCTGAATTCCAGCATATAGAAAATAAGTCGAGAGAGAGGAGAGGGCTTCAGGAAGAACCTACTGCAAAACTTGACCTGACCTAATTAAGTGGTCCTTATTCTACCTTCAAGGGAAAGGTGGCCTATAAAATGTTGTGAGAGTGTTACCCGTGGAGGATGTTGAGCCAACATTCCTGGAGTTGCTAAAGCATGACTGCTCCAGCAAGGAAGAAAGCCAAGTCAAATAAAACATTGCCAGGTTGCAAGCCACAGGTTTTCGTCTGGTGGATCTGAAGCAAAGCAGAAGCAACAACAGTGAAAGAGGATGCAGCCACTGGATTCTTCCACTCCGCTGCTTTTCAGTGTTCCTGGCCCTGCCTCTCAACTTTCCTTCCAAAATTCCATAGTGAGGAAGACTCAGTGTTGTACCTCACTGCTGGCAGGAGAAGTGAGGAAGTAGTAAGTTGCATTCTTCCTTACACCTGCAGAGTTCTTAAAAAGGCAAACAGGAATTCAGGGAAAATTTCCCTTGACCCAGGGAAAACTGCTTTCCTGCTCTCGCATGCAGCTGTTGATCTGATCCTGTAAAATGAATCCCACTAACTCTTCCAAAGGGAAATTTGTGGGATCTGGGTGGCATCCAGTTCCATGCAGTTGTTCGGCTGTGCTTGAAAATGGAAAATCCACATTCAAATGCCAAGTTGGGAACTATGAAGCTTAAAAGATGACATGGGGCAGGCAGGGGCAGAAGGTGAGGCTCCAGATATGGGCTTCAGCTCTCAGGAGCCTCTGCCAGAATGGCCCGTGATCAGGAATGCTGGGAGTTGAAGCCAGAACATCCAGAGATCTACTTTCTGCCCACTCTGACCTACAGCAGAAGACACCATTAGCACAACCTACCTCACAGCGTCTTTGTGAGGCTGAACTGCTTCTGGGAATTTTCTGGAAGAAGGAAGGCACACAAACGTGGCAAACTGTGTGTTTACAGTTCCCATGCTACCAAACATCTCGCAATATTTTGAAAAATCTCCCCTTACAAGTGCTTGCATGTAAAACATCCCATGACTTTGCAGAGTTCAGCAGAACACACACCCACAGCTCTGAATAACAGAAGACCTACGCTTCCACAGAAGCCAATAAAAACAGAACCACTCCGTTCTGGAACTGCTGAAATGAGATATGAAGGCATTGCTTTGGTATTACCTCCTACATAAGGGAATTCTTTCTGCCTCAGACAGTACCCTTTCCAGATCCTCTTGCTCCTCACTGATAGAGATGGACTGGATTCTTGTGTGGCTAAAGAGCACAAACCACTCAGCCCTGCAATCCCTTCCTTCTCCCCCACCCTTAGATGACCTACCATGACATCAAGGAACGTTCACAAATATTCTAACTTCTAAGGGCAAGAGTGGCAGCAATAGAATGCTGACAAACAGTGCAACTTCTGTGAAGAAAATTCATTTCTGGTTGTGAAGAACATTTTGCTTAGAGGTAAAGGCAGGAGAGGCTGAAAGCTTTTAATGGGACAGAGGAGAAAGGGGGATTGGGTGGCTGATAAGAGAAAGTGAAAGGCTGATAAGCATGTATCTAATTGAAAGGAGCAGGGGCAGAGCATTGAGAGGAAGAGCTGAGGAAAGATGGCAGTAAGCAAAATTGGGTGGGGGGATGGTGGTACGGAAGGAAAACTAACATAATGCTGGGATTAGAAAGCTCTGTGCATTAAACAGTTTTAATAATCCTTTACTATGGACATAGTAATAAGATGTGCAAAAATGTGTCTTGCCAGCCATCCGAAGCCTTAAACATTAATGATGTAGAAAAGACAGAGCAGGGAATTGTAGGCTAAGATAATCCCACAAACAGGTGTGGCCGGATCGACATGCTCACTCAAAGCTCAGCCCCACTCTGCCTCAGGCAAGGTTGTCATCCTCTACAATTCTATTCACACACAACCGATTCGTACATTAAAAAAAAAAATCTGGATTCCTTTAACCTCCTCTTTTGCTGAAGCAGGCAAGCAGGCAAGCCAAGAAACAACCCTGGAAGGAAAAGAAGACAAATTCTGCTGGAATATCTCCTCACAAAATACCCCTGGACAGGGCTTGGAAGCTTAGTTTTGCTTTCTCTGTGGCTTCTGCACAGCACCAGCTTTAGGTTTCGGGGGGCCTCTGGGCAAGACGCCCTTGGTAAATCTACGCATGCACACACACTGAGGTGTGGGTCCTGGGTCCACCTCTTTTTCACTAGTGACTCTTGACTTGCCCTCTGGGGCCAATCTGCGTGGCTGAGAGCCACAGTGAGTGGAGGCCACTCCTCCTCCTCCTTGCTTGCCTATGGAACTGGAAATGAAAGGCAGCCCAAAGCCACGCACTCTGCTGGGGCAGGAGCCCTGACAAGTGCCCAACAAGTGTCCACTCAGGCTTATCTTGCTGGGCCTTCCTCATCTTGCTTTAGGTCTTGCCCTGGCCTTAACTTCTTATAGTAAGCCATAGCAGGGGTGGTAGTGGTGAGACTAAGGTTGCGTGTTTGTAGGATGGGCAGATGTCAAAGAGAACATAAGAAAAGCTGCGCTGGATCAAACAAAGGTCAATCCATTCCAGCGCGCCATATACACAGTGGCAAACCAGCCTGCCCATGGGATCACTCAAGCAGGTTCAGTGCAAGACCTCCTCCTGCCCAAGCTCCTCTGCAATTAGTATATGCAAGCATGCCACCTCTGGAAAAGGAGGTCATGCATGGCCAGCAAGGCTAGCAGCCACTGATAACCCCTTCCCCATGAATCTCTCCAATCCTCTTTTAAAGCCATCCAGATTGGCAGACATCGCCACTTCCTGTGGCAGTGAATTCCATAGTTCCACTTGTGTGAAGTACTTCCTTTTATTTGTCCGAAACCTCCCCACACCTTCATAGGATGACCCCAGGTTTGAGTGTTATGGGAGAGGGAGAAAAATGCATTATTTTAATGTCCCAGGTGTTGCAGCCGGTCCTCACAGGGGAGCTGCTCCAGCTCCCTGGTCATTTTTGTTGCCCTTCTCTGTACATTTTCCAACTCGAAACAGAGGACAGAGGTCCAACAACATAACATCAAGGAGGGAATTTCAGGTGTCATTTGTTAGGCTCCTGCTGAAATGCCCACTTCTACACAACTATTAAAGGTATAGCTCCCTGTTCGCTTTTGCATCTAGCACCATCTGTCTGCCTTTTGAGGCAGCGGGTGTGCCAAACACAAACGTCCTCCACTCTTTCATTCTGACACTCTTCTTCTTGGGAATTACTGCATATATACTGGTTGTCTTCTGTTGGTTGGGAGGGGGGAGCCAAGGCTATCAATGGCTACTGGCCCTGATGGTTATAAATTAGCCCTAGTGGCAGAAGCATTGTAACTCTGAATAGGAGGTCCCTTGCATTCTTTTCCTGTTTGTGGGTTATATTCACAGGCACATCTGGCTGGCTGCTGTGGAAAGAGAGTGCTGGACTATAAGCCTTTGATCTGATCCAGCCTGGCTCTTACGCTCAGCAAGATCTGAAGAAATGCTTTGGTGCCTAGATGTTTGAAATATGTCGCATAGCTTGATACACATTGTTAGTGAAGACATCTACATCAATCTTCCCACACCTGATACCCTCCTGATATTTTGGATTGCAACTTTCCTCAGGTCTGATCAACATGGCTAATTGCCAGGAATTCTGGGAGTTGTAGTCCAAAACATCTGGAAGGCACTAGACAGGAAAAAAATTGCTCTATACCATTGTAAACATCACAATCTGTAACTGGGAAAGGAAGCAGACTAAATTGTTGGCTCTTCCTCAGCGTGGATAGATCTCTTCCTTAGCCTTCAACCACACCCTGTTCCTGTAAATCCCACAACTCACATCCAGCTGTAAAACCCCAGCAAGGAGGTTGGAACTAGACAGAGCAATTAAGATGCATTTTTATGTCTAAACATGCATAGGATTGCACCCTCCCGTTAGAAGCCTACATACACTTTCCTGGAAGTAAGCCCCATTTCACTTAATGGAACTTACTCCTGGGTAGACCTGCATAAGACTGCTAGGGTAAAGATACATTTACACTACAGATATAAACAGATTTATCAGATATTTTAATTTTTAATTACAACGGCAGTCCATTCTTCCTCAAAGAAGTTGGGGACACAATCTTCTTCTGTTTAATGCACACCACAAGTGACATTGGACTTAGTAATGGTAACTCAGCCAAGGTCACCCAATGAGTTTTAGAACTGAATGGGCATTTGAATCCAGACTTCCACAATTCTAGTCCAAGAGTGTAATTTCAATAGCACAAAGACTTTCTCATTCCCTCTTCCCAGGGGACTGAAGTTTTATGAGGTGGGCTAGTGATCTCTTAGTACTCTCAGCAAACTACCATCCATAGGATCCTTGGGGTGGAAGCAGCCACATATAAAAGTGATATAAATAGCAAGAGGGTGGAACCTCTTTTGGCATGAGAAAATCTCTTTCAACCCGATTATGGAATGGTCTCCACAGTGAGGCCTGCCTGGTATGAACCTGGTTATCTTTTCAGTGTAGATGCAATACATGATAACTGCATATGTACGTGCAATAAATAACAGAAGCAGCGGGTGTGTCAAACATGCGTTCTTACATTCTTTGGCCCAGATCACTAGCCCATTTATAGTGATATGATATTGTGGTCTAAAGAAAGGCTTCCCCTGTCTGTATTAGCTTCCATCTCTCTACAGTGCATTGTGTAAAACACTGGAGACCTCAAGGACCTCAAAACAGCTAGGGAGATACGAGTGATCCCAGCTGGCTATCATGCTGACACTACTAGGCAACCAAACACCTGCAGAATCACAACCTTCGGTTCTGCACTAATCTGAAATTGCCACCACCTTCTTAGTTCTGTAGTCACACTTACTAATGGGAATCAGAATTTTCACTTCACTAGTAAAATGAAAGCCCGTTTTTTGCCACCCTGAGTTATGAACAGTTGGTTTAATGAAATGGGTAAGGGTGGGCATCTTATATTCTAAGAATTCTGCTATATGGGCATTTTATTCCCAGTTAGAACAACAAAGCAGCTTTGTTTTGTGTGCTGTGTGGAAGCCAGCAAAGGGAATATCACAGGAAACATGGTGGTCCAAGCCCTGCATTCTCCTCCAGCTCTAGATCATTTGGCTTTGGCAAAGAGAGAGACAGACAGAGAGCAGAAACCTAAGCTGACACTGACTGTAGGTTTGGGCGTGTTTGAATCAGAGCTGTGAATTCATATTGTTATCATGCGTCACACTCCCCCTCTCGGAAGGCAAGAGACCTCACAGAAGAAAGCACATAAAGAAACTATGCAAAGTGTCTGTCTGGAGTTGATATTCACACTGGTAAGACAATACCTTTCATGGAACTGACTTCCTCTGTGCATGGTTGAATGCTTCCCCACGGAAAAAAAAAAAACAAACACCAAAAAACACCAACACCCCACACTTCCTGTATTCAGGAGGCCAGCAGATCAGGAAGAGTAGGCTAGTGCTTTTCTACCCTATATCCAGTTTCTATGTGCAAGACATTAAAAAATAAATAAATGGAAGAACATTCTGTTGTGCCAACACCTAAACCAGCAGAATTGTGTGGTAAACCCCAGGAACGGTTTTACCCGCATGTTTGCTGTTTGCATGAAATAATTCATAGCAAAAGACAGATGGCACAATTTTTAACTGTGTTTAGCCAGTTATAAGGCTGTACCCTTATTTTTCTCTTACCATGAAATCACATTTCTTCCTTACTCTTACAGCTATTATTATTATTTATTTTGTAGAGGCACTACAAAGACTAGATTTCTTATAAAACAAGAGAAACAGGCCAGACATGCCCTGATATAAAACATCTATGAATAGATCTGTTTTTATAGGCTTTGTAAGACAGATGGCTATTCTCATCTCAAAAGTAAATCTACAGGGAGGTTAATGTACTAAAGCCATAGGAAATATCTGGACTACAACTTCCTAGCTGCCTTACTGCAGTTCAGCAGTTGCAGGTCTCACCCACCACAAAGAATCATGGGAATTGTAGTTTAACAAGAATGCTGAACATTTCTACAGAGCTTATAGCCTTCCTTACAGAAATACAGTTCCCAGGGTTCTCTTGGCAAGGTAACATGCCTATGAAACCAGTTTAAGTCTGTGATGTAGCAGTGTCTTAATACGTGCAGGTATTCTGGGATGGCAACACTTGAACTCAACAAAAATTCTGATCCATTTTATATTGCAAGAGTGAATCAGAGGTTCAAGGTGCTGGCTTGAAAACCCATGAGAGCTTCTTGAAACATTCTTCTTAATTTTTTCACTCCTGAGCCAAGTAATCATGGAAACTAAAACAGGGTTGTGATTGCTCCTGGGTGGAGTTCAGAATCTTGCAATGAGCATGAATGTGTGGAGGAAATTTCCAGGAATTCATCACTTGGGTAGTCAAGAGCTATTATTTCAGGATAACAACCTTAGGATAACATCATAACCTTGTATGAACAAGCCATAAGGTGGTTCAGATAGACTGAACACACAGCCTTCTGAGATACATAGAAACATTCCTTAGGCAGGAAAAGTTATTACCATAAAATTATTTTTATTGTTGCCTGAAGCAGAACTCTGTGCACCTTGAAAGCCTGCCAACTGGAAAAAAGCTGTTTGAAAATTTACCATATTGAATTTAAAAAAAGGGTTGCTTGGAAACTTTTAATGATCATCTCCAAAAGAGGGGCCCCTGCCCAATCCTTAATTTTTAACGAGAAAATAGGGCTTAGGTCCGTTTGGAAATCAGTCTCTTATCTGGAAGTTCTGCCCCAGTATCTCAGACATGTGTGTGTTGGGGGTGGGTGGGGGGAAAGCGTACCTGTGATCAGCAGTGAGAGAGACACTCTGCACATCCTCAGAGGCATTCTTGTCCTTGTCATTAGTTCATGGGTTCTGGGCCTACATCATGTATTTCTGGAATTTGTCCCAATTCAGAACGAGCACACTTGATGCTATCCTGATTAAACACCCTGCTGCCTAACATGCTGGCCTACCTTGAAGTAAAGCCATGCTTGCCTACTCCAGGTATTGCCCAAATCAAGCAGCACGCCTTGTTCTCTTGCAGCAGCGTGAAGCTGGTGGCATTCACAGGCCTGCATAGAAGATAGCTGATTCATTTTGGCAGCATGCCATGCTGGGCCTATGGCAGTACCCAAATGACTAATCTTTTTTTTTCTTTTTCTTTTTTAATGAACCACATGGAGTCTTTTGGGCCTACTCTGTGCTTGTGAAGCAGTTTATTCTGTCTTTCTTGCTTATGGAGAGAGAATGTTACCCTTTAATGCAATGCATTTGCACCTAATGGGTGATGTATGCAGGGGTACTCATTCTGCCTTAATTGAAAACAAACAAGATGGCTGCTTTGTAGGGGAAGGCACCCTAAGGAAAAAGGAGGTGATTTCTCAAGGGTTCCTGTCCCACCCCCACAGACAGGGAGGATGGTGCTATGCCTCAAGCCAACTCCCACCAACTTTCAGGCCATGATAGAGTATAGGGGAGGGGGGCATATCAATGGGAGCACACCAGTCCCCTCAGTCACACCATAAGCCCTGCTCTGGACTGCAAGAGAGACAAGAGAGTGACTGTCCCAGCAAGACACAGAGCTGAACCCCCCTTCCCACCCCACATACCCTGAACAAAAGGAGCAGCTGCCTCAGCAAATGCGCCAGTGCACATTCCTGGGGGGGGAGGGAAAGGAAGGATGAGTAAAGGGGGCAGTTCCAGCCACTAAGGGATACTGATCCCCCTTTGACCCCCACCCCAACTTAGTTTTAAATCTAATGGAGCAGCAACTTAGTACAGATAGGTCGTTAGATCTGGGACTCTCCACCCCATTCCTCTCTATTCAGGGGCAATGAGGTCCAAAAACGTAGGATTGGGGTGCAGGAAGGAACAGCTTCCTGCAAAGTATGTTTCTGGGTTTGTAGCAGGAAGATTAGGGAGGGAAAACGTGGCCCTTTGGGCCTCACATCTGCAGTAGCAACCCTGATGCACACTACTCCCCCCCCCCACGCCCCCGCCGTCCGCATGGCTCCAAGCCACCTGCTACATGACCCCCCCATCCATTCCTTCCACAAGCGGCTTCACCCCAAATGGCCTCGGCCACCCCTCCCCATCTCATTTCTCTACTCCGATTTCCGTGAAAAAGATTCGCGCCCCCCCCCCCACAGAGACCACAACTTGAGACGTGTGCCCCCCCAGCTCAGTCATGGTCACGTGGCCGGGGGGAGATGTCGCGCGCTGAGGAGTGGTAGGGTAAAGAGGGATGTAGAAAGAGATGGAGGAAATCGTCCGGGTCATTCGGGGATAACGAAGCCTGAGGCCGAGGCCGGGCGATTTCCGTGCGCCAAGGCGGTGCGCGCCCGGAGCTTGGCCCGGTGCAGTCCCACGACCGGATGCCTCTCCGTCCCCCACCCCCTGGAAGATCGAAGCTTCGGCCGCGCTCCCCCACCCTACCATGCACCTGCTCTGGGTGCCGGGGGTGGGGGGGAGAGAAGAGACGAGTGGTCGGGCGGGTTTTCTGGGGAGGGGGGCGCACGGTGGGCGGGCGGACGACGCGGCGCAGCGCAGCTACTCACCAAGGCGCACGGCGAGGCGGCGCGGAGGAGGGGGCGCTCCGGGGACCCGCCGCGTCGTCGGGGCTGGGCCGGGGCGAGCAGCCTCCCCGCCAATGGGGCTCCCCCCTCTCCTCTCCTCCTCGCCTTCCCTCTCTCTCTCTCTCTCTCTCTCTCTCTCTCTCCCTCCCTCCCTCTCTCTCTCGCTCCCTTCCTCCCTCCCTTCCATTGTACGGAGCCGCAGGCAGCGGCGGCGATTTGCATTTCTGAGCCTTGCGCGGCGAGGGATTGCCCGGCTCCATTGTACGCTCTCGCTCGGCCGGGCGAGGAGGGGGCACCCCTGTCCCGAGGGAGGGGGGACATTGGGGTGGGGGGGAAAGAAAACGAGATGAGAGATACACGCTAGTTTGGCACCACCTGCTCGGTTAGGCCGAGAATGGCAAAACGAAACAACAAAACCCGCAAACAAAATAATGTTCCGGGGTGGGCAACGCACTTTGATCTGCTTTGATGATGTGGGTGGCAATCAGTAGGAATGAAGGGGCGCTGGATCCTCGGGGTAGGCAAGAAAAGACAGGTAGGCTTCAACTCTAGGCCCCTAAAAATATGCCACGAGGATGGATGGCACTGTCCTGGCACAACGAAGTTATTGTCTGTGCGCCCAAAGGGGGGGGGGGGTAACGCGGAGGGACACAGCCTGCTTCGCGGTTGGCATTTGATAGGGCCAAGAACACACACTTATCAGGATATAACGAAGAAATCGCCACCCTGGCAAGGCCAAGCAAAGCTCCAGTAGAAGCAGATTAGGGGTCACCGGACTGGGGCAGCAGCGTCTGCTTGCTTCAGCCTGCTCTGCTGAGCTCTAGGGAGGGGAAAGAGAAGGGGAGAAGCAGGGCACCATCTTGGCACAGGCAAGCATTGTCTGCTCTGCTGTACAATGGTGGGTGGGAGGGAAAGCATCAGCCTGGTGCAGCCTGCTTTTTTGGATGAGTATCATTGGCAGGGGGAAGAGGGGAGGGCAGAACGCTAGCCTGGCATAGCTAGGCACAGACAAGCTTTGTCTGCTGCGCTGTGCCATAAGAAGGGAGGGGGAAGGCACAAACTCACTGGCACGACCAGCTTAGCAGAACCTAGTCCTGTCTACAGAGCAGTTCCATGGAAGAAGCCTGGGCAGCTGTGCAGTTGAGGTCCTAGCAGTGTGACCAGGTTTCGGTATTGCTGTGAGAAAGTACGATTGCCCACCAGTATTATTATGCACTTTCTTGGATCACAGCAACAGGACAAAGTGCTACACCCTTTCTCTTCACATCATGTTAGGTGAAGGTTCATGTGTTACTGATGAGTAAAAATCAAGTGCTGGCTGCTCTACTGGGCCACGTTGCTGGCTGGCAGCATTGGTTGCAGCACAAGGCCTGCCTGGAAGGGCCTCTTGCAACTGCTTTTCAGCTACTCCAGTCAGTTCAGGGAAAGGGGTAGGAATAAGAATACACAAGTTGCTTAGCAACTACAGGTCAGGTTTTTTATTCACCTCCTGCTTGGGCCTCCAAGAGTGGAAAGGGACCATACAAAACTACAGGACAGGGAAGCAGACCGGAAGGAGACATGCTAGTCTGGCCTCAGTCCCTCCTCCTCTCCCCCTGCCCCCTCTCGTGGGGTCACGCAAAAGGGTAAAAGGCAATCAAGGCTGCAAGTTCCCTGGTTTTGGGGGGGGGGGAGGCAGAGGTCAGTAGGCCAACTCCACATACAGGGCTGAAAATACATTTTACACCCTCAGCCATGTTCCCTCAGAGTGACTTCCAATGATTTCATTAGAATCTGCCCAGCTGACCACATGACTGCAGCCATGAAACAAATAACCAACACTTATAAAAGAAACTTCTTGAAGGCCTTTTCCCCCGATCAGCCTCCCACCAAGCCAAGGAAAAGTCTAGAAAGTCAGGAATAAAATGTTGGCCCAATATTAAAAGCCAGATATAAAGCACCCTACCAGGACCTCAATTATATTCTGCTTTAAACTGATAAACAAGGTAGTGATGGGAGAGGACTAAATATAGTAAGTAGCCTCTACAGCTGAAGAACAGAAATGACTAATGCAGTTCAGCATGCTTTTTATATAAAATAAGGTCTTGTTAGACAAACCTGACTGATTATTTTGACATGATTACATGTTTGACAAAGGTAACCATTAATTTACAGAGACCCAAGGTATTTGCTTAGTACCTTATGATAGCTTAGGTTCATGGGCAGCTAAAAAGCACTCCTCAAATGGGTGAAAATTACCATGTTTCTATCATATTTTGGTTTTCCTATGGACACGTGGGCCTGAACAATCAATCTGCACAGCTTGCAGATTTTAAGACATTTACTAATTCACACATCTTTTAGCCCACATGTTTAAAGCACTCTTATTTCACCAGCCTGTAATGTAGCTCAGGCCCTTCCTTGAAGAAACCCATTTGATGTGAATACTGCAATAGTCCCATATCCTACTTTATTGGGGCTTCTGGCTCAGATCTACCTCAATTCAAGTCCCAGGGTTCTTACTATATTCCCTTCCTTATCTTTCCTCTGTAAATAAAATGTAATTCAAAGCCAATATAACTGAACAGTTGTAGATGCTGGAAAACCCAGACTTGGAACTTAATGCTTGTGCTCTTGTAAAAACTATTTCCTATCAAAATCCCCTGAATGTTGTGGCCGAATCAGTTTGCGCTAGATCTCACAAACAGCAGATGGGGTGTTGAGCTTCTCCATGAGAACAGGATGTTGAACCCTTTCCACAAAAGATTTTCACCAGCCACAGTAGTTTTCACTACTAGAGTTCATCTGAGGGTCAAGTAATTAAGAAGTTACTCTTAATAGTGTGGTTAGCAGCAATGTCTTGAATTTTTTTAAAAAAAGTTTTAATACTAGGCTGGGGGATGGAAGAGGGATTTTCATTAGGACTATGTTGCATGTAAAAGGCAGGTTTAACCCTTCTTTCCCCAGCTGCAGCCCTACCAAACGCACTACAAATTGTTTAGGGGGAAAAGCTCCCATTTGCCACTAGTTGGAATCCCCCAACTCTTGCAATCCTACTTTGCAGAGTGCTAAGGTGATTTTATTCAAGATCATGGGTTAGAAAAGGATTAAACCTCCTGGTACACTTTTGTCCTGATAACAGTTGGGGGTGAAGCACACCCGGTTGTTTTTAAACTCAGACATGGTTGCTAACAATGCAATTAGTCTTGTCTGGTTTGACCCCAAGAAAAATATCCAAAGAGAGAACTTACAGGGAAATAAACTGGAGGTGGGTAAAATGTACTTCACTTGTTACCCATCTGCTCCTTTTGCTGCTAAAATCAAGGCACATCATAAGGATTTAAATGCACAAAACTTCAGTCATACCTAGCTGGACTAGAAATAGTATAGCTCAGATACAGATTTACAACTTCAGCTACACCTTTGTGAGAACTAAGCTTAATTTGTTAGGTTGTCCAATTTTAACTGCTTTTCTACCTTATCATTTTATACTGTGGTCTAGCACAAAATCGAGCCTAGCACTAGTCCCATCAAAAAGTTGTTGTGAATGCAGGAATTAATTTTAATCCCCACAAAAGTGTATGGGTGGGTGGAGGTGGGCTTCCAAGGTCTTTAGCAGAAAGATGTGTTCTCTTAAAATATTTGGGAGCTGATAAGGATTGGCAGTCCACTATTTGAAAAATAAAAGTGAGTGGGTGGGTGGGTGGGTGGGTGGGAGGTCATAGGCTGCAGGGTCACCACTTTCAGTTTCATGTGTAAAAATACAAAACATGTGATTGCTTAAATGATAACCAGTCTCACAAATGTTGCTTATTTTGCATACAACTCTGACATTACAAAAGCATCTTCCATTATTACATTTCCTTGCATCTTTCAAAATCCACTTCTTGCATTTGTTTTTGTAAGCAGCAGAGTCCACACAGCTGGATAAATCTATGGTTAGTTCCCTTTGAAATAACTTTAAAAGGGTGATCATTACTTAAAGCCAATATTTCAATGGGTTCTAAGTGGAAATAACCTAGTATATATCTAAACCAGTGATTTCAATATCTACTTTTCACATGGGCAGGTATTTGAGTGACTTCCATATGACAGGGCTTGGGGTCAAATTCTAGGTAAGCTCTGTCAAAGGAGACAAGATTTACCAAGCAGCTCAAGTTACTGCATCTTAAAGAAGCACACTATATCGAATAGAGGAGGTGGAGTAGACAAGTTCAGCACCAACTCAAAATGCAGCATCATTTTTGAAGTTTCCAGAGACAGAGTCCCATACTCCAGATCATATGCCACACTGAAAAAGACAAGCAGTTTCACTGCAGAAAGGTGTTTGGAGAGCTCCAACAAATAAGCCAAGCCATATGCTACTGGGGAAAGCAAGCACTCTTCAGGGCCTCTTTAGTGTGTTCACTCACACTGTTTTTTCCACACAGGAATTGCTTTTCTACAGATGCTTCCTCTCATGATAGCAACATGGTAACAATCCTGCAGTTTTATAATCTCAAAAATAAAGATCCAAGTAGAGAAGGGGGAAAAAACATCTGAGTGTAAGTCCTTAGTCTGCAGGGCAGGTGTCACTTGACCAAATGTTTGTCAAAATTCCCTGCACATAAAATATTAGCATACATCAAGGAGATGGCTTGACTAAAATCCCCCTCCTTGCCATTCTCATTTCCTATGCGTTGAAAAGTGTCTTTCCTCCACTATCTTGGGCAGCATCCAAACCACGTCTGCATACAAAAGTGGCACAGTCCCAGGAGATCTGTAGCCTGTGAACTTCCACAGTACCTTGAATACTACAGTATCAAATTCTCTTGTGGCTTTGCAGAGCTTCCCTAATTCAGTGAGAGGGCTACTTCTGAGCTCCTTGTTTAGATCTTGTAGTCATTACCTCCCCAGTGATGCAAAACCAGAGGCACCTCTTTCCTTCTTTTCCTCTTGAGTTAACCTGGATGTGGTTGAGAAAGTACATCCTGCAGTAGCTTGGCAACTGCAGCCCAGGTTCTTCCTTTCATCTCCCATCAGACTAAGCAAACTCTACCAATTCGTCTAGACACTGCAGCTATGATCAGAGTCAGGGCACCAGGCAAAGGAGCAGTTTGAGACACTTTGGCCATGACCCGCATTGGTCATCAGTAGAGCACCCTCCTCCCAACCTACACCTCAGTTCAGGCCAATTCAGAACTCCTTGGTTTGACTTTGCTTGCCTGGTACAACAGCCTCTGTCACCACCAACAGCACTGACTTGCCCAAGAATCTCCAGTAAGTTCACAGCTCGAGAAAGAAGTTGAAAAGGCACTGCATGGGTATTATGAGAATGGACAGAGCCATCCCAGAGTAAGATTGCGGCCAAGTCTGGATGTTCCTACAGGGTGGCAGCAGAGTGGAATGCATGGGAAAGTCATCGGCCAACTTGGTGAAGCATGCCACAGTACTGCTGGACACAAGTGCCCATTCATGCCTTCATCTCTGTTCCGAGGCTCTGTGGGGCTCAGACTGTTCTGTTCCCAGAGTTCCTGGGGACTGAGTTCTGCCTTCCGTGGCTGCCTGGGGAGAAGAGCTTCCGATGTAGGCTCCACACCCAACGCTGCAAAAAAAAGGGGGGAAAAGGAGGACAAATGATCATCCAGATACACAGAAAAGCACCAAGACTCTCCAATAGGGTTGCTGGCTACCCATCACTTTCAAACGTCTACTCCTCGTGTTTATACTGTATGCCTGAATGCCTGACTACTCAGTCTGGCCTTGTGAAATGTAAAGTTAACTTTATACTTTCCAACAGGGACAGAATAGAGTACCTACCATCCTGAAATAACAACACATTTTTGAGCATTCAAAGCATTTCTCCTAGATTAGCAGGGAACCTCTTTCAGTCCCAAGGCCAAATTCAATTTTGGAGATGGTCTTGGGGTAGGAGCTGAAGGTGAAAGTGGCAGGCCCAAAAGCAGAAGGGTTAGAGTCGAAAATACCAGTCCCCATAAATACTAGCATGCTGTAAGCATTTGCTGGCCCTCACTAAACCTTAAGAGTGGTATTCTGGCCTATTGGAATATGGGGAAAAAACTGCACAAAAGGGAGAAAACCACTGGTGATTGGTGGTTGGGAGAAAGAACAGTTGGCTTGGGGAAAGGGGGGTGTAGTCATTCCTGAAGGGTCATATCCCAGAGAGACTGTATCTGGCCCCCAGACCTGAAGTTCCCCCCTCTTGGCCTAGATTGTCTCCATGATGGTTGCAGCAAACCTGCAAGGTAAGTCAATATTATTTTTCCTGTATTATAGATAAAGGAGTCAGGCTGAGAAACAGTGGCTTGGCTAAGGACACCCTAAATTCATGCTCAAGGTGAAATGTATATCACTCACTCCCCAGCTCACATGGTAACCCATGAATTTACACCAGCTCTGTAGGCATTTGGTGAATTGAGAACAGCAGTAATATAAAGACAACTGGGTGGCCAGCAGGAGTGGCACACAAAACAGAAGTTGCAAGACAGCGAAACACACAGATTTAAAAAAGGGTCACACATTTAACAGGAATAAAGCAAACTCCTTGGACAAGGAAGCATCCCTGGAAATAACAGACAAAGAGAAGGACACGTGGGAATGCTATGGGCTGTGCTTCAGGGAAAAGGGAAACAGCAAGGAGCAGGTAAAGGGAAGGGATGGGAGTTTGCACAAAGGCAGAGAAATTTGGCGTGGGCGCTGTACCTGGCCGCCATGGCCTCAGAGTGGGGTCACTGGTTCGCCGGCAACGCCAGAGCTCTGGCAAATAAAGAAAACATATAGAAGCCATCAGGGATGGCATGCTGAACCTTGGAGGGGAAGGGTGGGACAGGAGAATCATGCCATTTCTGCACACATGTACAGACTCAAGTGTACACTCTTACACACACAGAATTCTGTTTAGGCAAACATGTGGATACTGGATGACCAATCCTGGCCAGGGGAGATTTGATACCAATGGGTTATGTACCTATTAGAGGCCTATGGGCACCATTGTGGTAAGGCATTTCCCAGATCTTTGTTCTGGTTTATCTATTCAGCAGAATTAAGTGGCAATGCTTTTCCTGCACTGTAGCACTTCAGGTATCTGGGGGATGGAGACAGAGCATCCCATGGCTTGGGGAAGTGAAACCACACTTTTATAAGGAACTAGAATATACAGGAAGACATCCTTGCTGAAGCCTTTGCTCTGATATGTGGGGTTTTTAAAAGGGTATGTTGGTTCTTTTGGTAGAGAAGCATTAACAGGCAGAACTTCCACCTCCCCACCTGCAGCCTAAAATGGCAGAGTCTGGGGGAAGACTTGGCCTTTTGAGTCTAATGGCTTGATCAACTGGTTTGCAGTAAGCGGACACTCTCACCAGGAACACTCACCGGCTGTGGGTGTCCCAAAGCAGAGCTGCTGCCGGGCAAGGATCCTCTTCCCTGCCGAAGTGGTTCTTGGTGGCTTGGGGAGGCTCCGTCGGACTCCGAGGTCTCGGCTAACGGGGAGAGGAAACAGGCTGTGGGTGAGCACAAGCGGTGAGCAGCCACTCCCTGAGAAGGCTGAGGGGGCAGCAGTGAACGCACCCCTTGGGATGGGTTTGACATCCATGTCCCATTCCTCTTCCTCAAAGTGGCCAGGCAACGACAGCCCAGGGGGGGGCCCGGGGCCAAGGCCGAGAGGAGTCAGGCGCTGGGGAGGGCAGGAGGAGATGCTCATCGAGACAGCCGGCTGGGCAGCTGAAGAGAGTCGGGGAGAGAAAGAGAGGCACATCCAAGGCGTTCTTCTTCCAAAGCTCCTCCCTGTCCTAGCAGCAGTCCTCTGTCAGAACTCTCCTGCCTTGCTAAGCAGACATGTCATTCCGCAAAGCCCACTTTCCTGCTTTTCTTCGTGTCAAGCTCTCATGGGCAGCAGAAAGCCACATTACGGACAGGTCAGATTATTTTGAGGACCCTGCTTCCATGCCACCATGCACATGAAAACCTTAGGTTTGGGAGCCAAATCAGGCCTTCCCCTGGCCCCACCAATTGCTTTCTCACCACCACCAATTACTTGCTTATTTTCCCACCCACCCCCCATGTTCCAAAAGGTTGAAATGCCTCTCCTAGTGCCTTGTTATTGGTGGCAAAAGTGTTAAAATGAAAAATGACATTGTCTTTTTGCCCCTGCCAGCAGTGACCTTTTTTAACATTGAATTGAGCTAGAAGGGGCTCCCTACCTTGGCTTTAAGCACAGGAATGCATGCCCCAAATCTTCCCCATAAAGAAGGCTCCTTCTCACCTGAGATGCTATCTAAGTACATCCCAGAAGTCTCTTCTTCTTTCCATTCTATAGAGGAAAAATACTTTTCTCTCCGTGGCTGAAAGCACTCCAGATGGGGGCAGGTGCAGGCCCCTCTCTGGCACCATTTTGTGCAAGCACAGGGGTGCCCAAGGGACTGCCTGCCTCCACCTGAGCCTAACAGCACGCTCTGGTCTTCCTAAGAGGCTTTTCTCTGGTTTTCCCCACTAATGAAGGTGCAGGTGGTGAAGGTAATCATTATTTGCAAAAGGTTTTTTTTTTTCTTTTTAGTGTTGGCAGCTTGAGTTTGAAATGTCCTGTCAGAGGGTCTCACCTGGTACCCAGTCTAAAGTCATCTCATGCCAGGCAAAGAGTTCTTATTTTCCCAGGTTTTTAACTCTTGCTGATCTGCTTTACTTTGTGCTTTTCTACTGTATTCAGAATTTTTAAAACTTACTTAGATACCGACTCTCTTTTACAGCATTTAATTATTTTTAATTAAATCATGCTGATCACTCTAATGGAAAAGCAGAAGCAACACTTTCCAAGTAAAATAAACATTTCCCACTGGAGAGTTTGTGTTCCTGGATCTTTTTTAACACCCCTCTCAATGAGGATGGCGAAGCACCCTTGGAGTTTCTTAAAGCAAAGGAACTGTTTGCACAAATAAAGCCCTGACACCAGCCTTGCCCTGCTGGATGTCCCCAACCACCAGCTCTTAAGGCATCCTCATACCCTGTCTCCACAGCAGTTGCGCTATAACATTTGTCCACTGATGCTTGACCTCAGCAGAGGCTGCCTGCAGTGTGAAGGACTGCCGAGTTGGTCCCCGTCCAAACCACAACTCAAAGCGTAGCCCAGTAGGTCCCACGCTCTCTGTCAGCCCCATGGATGCTGTCTGTGCAAAGGAAAAGAAAGTCTGGATGGAAATTTCATTTGGGCCAACTGCAACAGTAAGTAGAAAGTCCACGCAAGTAGGAGAAATACCACTCCTCCTGCTTGCAATTGCTTCAGCTTCGTGTCATATGCAAACCTGAAAAATGTGCGCATTCCACACATAGACATTCTGTGCCCAGAAATCATTCTGTTCACTTTGAGATGCACAAGCTTCTGAAATGGGATAGCTGCTATTGAGAAAATTTGGATAAATCCTGGTAGAAAAAGGCTGCTTATATGTGCCTTTGTGTTATAAAATCAAACCTGCAGTATCCCTGCACCTCTTTCTCAGGAAGAACCAGGATTCCAAGCCAGGCTTCTGTGAGCTGTTCTTTTAAGAGACTGGAACTCTCAGCTCGCCTGCAGAAGGGGGGCTACCAGGGAAAGTTAATCCCTGCCAATTCCTGTGCTAAGGTCAGGGTGGCCAGTCAGGTTTTCCTAGCAGTGTTACAATCACCCTAATTTACATGTTCAAACCTACAGCCTAGACTGACAATAATCCCTGTACCTTCCTGATTGTCATGATAATCTGTAATCAACACAATTGTATGAAGTCCGCTCTGTAGTTCTCTCACATTCTTTTGACTGTGTTCCTATTTTGTCATCATCTGCCCTGCTGTTATGACATGTGACTCAGAACCTATAAAACACTTTGTGTATTTTCTAAATGCTTGGAATAGGCTGTGTGAACCTCTACCTGGGAGCATGCTGTCATAAGTTACTGCAGGAGACTGGGCTGTCTCACCAATAAAACCGTTAAGGCTCAAGACAGTTAGGTCTTCCCTGAAGATCTGAATTCTGCGACTGGAATTCCGGGTCTCTGACACCGCACAAAAAGAAGCAATTCCCCTGAAAGGCATGATGCCCACCTGCAAGGCTTGTTTGCAGACGTAGCCACCCTCGGCTCCCTTGCACTTGGTGAAGAGCAGCAACTGCTCAAAGAGGAAGATGTGCCGCTGGCACTTACGGCGCCCGCACACCATGACAAGCTCCCCACGCTGCAAGAGTGGCCCTTGTTCCGACAGTTTCACCTGCAGGGGCGACAAGAGCACTGAGCAGAGCTATGAGGTTGATGTTGCCCTCCCTGCCAGCTCCAGCAGAAATGTCCCCTCACCCCAGTTTGCTCCCACTCTAGCATTTCCAGGGAGCACCGAACAAAGACCTCACAGTGCACCCAGGGCAAGATCTGGCAGTGGGCCCTTTGCCTGGGTTGCCAGGAAGTGTAATCCCTCGGTTGAGTGCAGGACAAATACCAAGGGAGGACGCAGCACATGCACAGCTAAGCGGCAGGGAGCCACGCTGTGGCACGCGCCAGGAGCATCCCCGCGCACACCTCGCAGCCCCGGATCTGCTCCGCAGCCAGCAGGTCCTGGCCTCGCTGCTCCTGGGCCTCCAGCAGTTGTTGGGCCTCCTGCAGGGCTTGGCGGTCGGGCCCTCGCTCGAGCTCGCATTCACGCAGCAGCTCACCCAGGAAGCGTCGGTACCGCACCAGCTGCTCCAGTGGCACACGCAAAGTGCTGGCCACTTGCCCATCCTCATGCAGCTCTGCCTGGCCCTTCTGCAGAAAGACAGGTGAGTTGGCAGGGGAACCCGGGATCCTATCCCCTAAAGCAAACAGCAGGATACCAGGGATTCTGAAGAATAGAATATATGGATGGCATATGCCTTGGAATGGAGCTGCACAACTGCTGCCTTCCCCCAAGGCCTTTAGCACAGTCCCCAAAGGGTGCACTGACCTCACCACCACTGAATTCCCTGCCACCTGCACTTTCCACTCCCTCAGCCGGACAGCCTCATAGAGAGCATGCTTTTCCCACCACTGCGAGCAGCAAGGAATTAGCCATATGTATAAGAAGCTCATGGAAAAATACCTCTCTACCCACCCCTGAGACATCCTTAAAGAGAGTCCTGGGTACATGTGCATGCATGTGTGTGTTTGTGAAAATCTCTGTGTGTGTGCATCAGACCTTCTGGGTGAAAAATTTTGGGCACACCCCCCCCCCCCCCCGCTTAGTGACAGTTGGCTCACTATCCTTCAGACTTCTAAAAGCTTGTGTCTGGGGCCACTCCTCTGCCCCAGTGTGAGCAATCCAATCCCAAACAAATGCAGTTCAGAGGGTGAAAAGAATCCATTATGAGGCAGTGCCTTTAACAACTAGCAAGCAAGACATTTTGCCCACCCAAAGGTCAATGTTAAGCTCTACCTCTCCAATCTCTGTGGCTGCAGCTCATACCTTGCTGGCAGTTCGAAGCAAAGCCAGGGCAGCCTGGAACTTGTGGTGGTCTTTGATATAGGTGGCATAAAGCTGAAGCTTTTCTCCCTACAGGTAAGAGAAAAAGAGGTCCCTCACTCATCTCAGCCTAGCAGGAGCCAGGATATTGTCTGCTACAATGGAACAAAGCAAAATCTAGAGACTGTGCAAAGGATGATTTCTTCTCTATCCCATTAAAACAAAAACAAACCGAAACAGGAAAGTATGCCCTTGAGGCAAGAACAAAAGACAAGATTGCCATCTTTCTTCCCTGGCCCTTCCACCCTGCTGTTTAACTGACATGCATTAATGAAGCCATTCATTCTCCCTCCACTTCATCTCCATGCCATGAAAAGCTTCACCTGTGATATTTCCTGTGTGTGCCAGTCTATTAAGGACAGAGGAGCAGAAAACAGTTAAAGAAAAAAAGGTACCCCCTCCAATTAAGGAGCTGGCCCCCAGCCTCATATTCTCTACTCATGTTACTAAGGGGCAGGATTTTGGCTGCAAAGGGGGTGTTTGCACACAAAGACAAACATGCTAACTGGTCAGAAAAAAAATCAGACAGTTTTGTATTTTTGCTTTTTAAAAACAATTCCTCCCTCCTTAGTGTAGTGTGTGTGTTTGTATCAACCATATAGCTTAGGTGACTAAATCTATTTGGCTACGGGTGAGATCAATCCCATACATGTCAGATGTTTTTCTGTCTAAACATGCACAGCTTTGTGGCTCTGCTCCACCCCCTCTCTCCACCATGTGCTCTGCACTCCACCCCTAACCTGGAACCAGACAGTTTTAATTGCATAATGCAGGCTACTTCCAGACCCAGGGCTCCTAGTTTTAATGACCAAACAGTGCTCTGCAGCTGCCCTTCTTTAAAAGATTCTTTGGTACGAGAGAAAAGGTGGAAGAAGCGGTAGGAAAGCATGGCAGGGCTACAAAGGGAGACATCTGGACCGTCTGTAAAATTCTGCGAGGAGCCGGGAACAGTGCCATAAAAGCCCCTTCTGGAAGTACCACGGAGGGCAGAGACCTCTGTGTGCTGTGGGATTCTACACCAGCTGTTTTACCCTGGGGTGTTTGTCATCTGTCCTGCTGATTCACTGCAGACTGGGAATACGTACCTCCCACAGGCAATTTACTACCTGTTGCCCTGTTGAAAGGTGGGATTAGAACACACTAGCTTGAGGGAAATTCCAGCAGCTACCTCTGGGGGGAGCAAATAACCAACGGGTTGCTTGCACACGCACTGGTCAAGAAGAAGGGTGGCACAGGCTGAGAGTGCGAGTGCCGCATCCGGGAAGAGAGAGAGAGGCAGGACTTGTTTCTAAACGGACTGGTGCCGGGGAGAGGACTGCATGGGACCCTCGCTCTCTTCCTTACAAATCCTTACCTATCCTTGTCAGATGTGCAAATATGGCTATAGAGAATCAGGGGCAAAAGGGCATTCTGCACATGCCCAGAGGTACTCTCTCTGCCCTTATCACTTTACCTATATATTTTGGGGCACTGTACATTGCCTTTGAGGGCTAAGTCAGAGAGACAAACAGAACCTTGTGGTGAAGGATGCTTTGTCAACAGACAAGAGGAAAGGAAGGGGGCTCACTGGGTATCTGGTAATGGGCAGCAGCATGCAGTAAGGCAAACTGATATGAGCTGTGCATCCAGGGGATCACTCACGTGACGCAGGAAGCAGCTTCCAGCACGTGATGGGTGGTTCATGCATCCCTCCAACTCGATGAGGAAGCAGCTGGTGTGGAAGGCCAGCAACTGGTCCCGCGTGGCCCGGAGAGCACTGCCCAGGCATCTCAGCTCGGCTGGCCAGGCCTGTCCCCCAGGCTCACGGGACAGGGAGAGGGGCTGGGCTAGGGCGCCCACGTACTCTCGCTCACACTCCAGAAGCTCAGCCAGAAGCTGCTGCTGGACCCTGGGAAGAAAGGGGTATGTGGATGAATGATGCCAATGCAAGTCACTCAGCCCTGCCTGGATGCTCTGGAGTGGGACAAAAGAACCCGGCAAAGTATGGAATGCAGGGTGCAATGCCCCTGGCAGCAGAGGGCCCTGAGCCGTCCCCATCCGGACACCCTCCAGATAAGTTAGCCTAGAATTCCCTTAGGGACACCAAGCTGGAGAAGGCTGCAGTATGGCCTTGCTGGCTGGGGGATGATGGGAGATGCGGTTCAAGACATCTGGAGGGTCCCAAGTTTGGCAAGGCAGGACTGGCTAGCAGAGTTTGGATATCACAGAGAGAAAGGAAGGCGGGTGGGCCAGACCCACAAGGTGCAGCGCACCATCAAGAACTCTTGTGCCGGAGTTATAGAAGCGAACAAAGCCATTCTTGTGCCATTCACAGGCACATTAAGGGGGCTTTCAAAGGAGAACATCCGGTTGGTTCACGCCCCAGGCTGATGAGCAAGGGAAATAACCATTTCGATTTTCTTCCATAAGTTCTGGAAATACCTCTGACTGGCCCAGCTTACAGAGCTGGGTTCTTAGAAGCTGGAATCTAGAATTGGACAGACTCCCACCCTGTCCACCCTTTGCACAACATCCCTGAGTAGCAACAGAGCACAGAATAGCCACGGAAGCCCTCCTCCCCTACTCACCCAAGGCACCGCCTTCTTTCCGTGCGGGGTGTGGCCCCCCAGGGTGCTTCAGCCACATGAGTCCCACTCCGACCCAGCAGCACGTGCTCGCGGGGAGAACAGCTCCGATCGGCCAGCTCGCGGCTGCTCACCTCCAGGCCCCGGATGTGCACACTGGGGCGGCCTGGGTCACTCAAGGCCCGCAGCGCCAGGGGGGAGGCAGGAGACAGGGGGGTCTTAGGGCTGGCTGGAGCGCCTGGCCTCTTCTTGCCACCATCCAGGGCACTGCGTTGCGTGGGGGAGCAGCAAGGGGAGGCCTTGGGGCTGGAGTGGGGCTGGAAGAGAGAGGTCAGGCTGCAAGAGGAGCCAAACCTGGTCCCCAGGCCCCAGCTGTGCTTGGGTGAGGAGGAGGCACTGATGCTGCAGGCCCGGGGCCGCGGGGCCGATCCAGTTTCGGGCACAGCCTGCGTCTTCCCTTGGCACTTCGGGCTCTGTAACGCTGTCCTCTCCAGGGACGCCCCCTCAGCCAGCCCCTCAGCTGGCCTCTTCTCTTCCACACTGATGCCACCAGTGGTTTGCCGCTGGACCTATGTGGGGAGGAGGGCAAGAATCCCTGGAGGATGTACTCAGTGGGTCCCACAGCCTCCTGCAGCCTTTGCACCCATTCCACCCTCATCTTTCAGGTCTGCTGAAGTCTTCAGCTCCTCACGTGAGAGGAGAAATTCAACAAGGACAGATCCTCATATGCCATGCATGAAAACCACCACCAAGGTATTTTGTTAGGTATGTGCACCTGCCTGCCTACCGGCTTCCTGCCTACCCCTCTGTTGCTTTTGCCCCAGCATTCTCAGGGCTGCCCTCCTCCAGGTTACTGCTTTTGCACCCTAAGAAAAATGAGGCTTCCTGGCACCCTGATCTGTGCAGCCCCATTTGCCCTGCACAGCTGCAGCATCAAGACTTCCAAAAACCATCCCTCTGGAATGCATATTACCAATAAGAAATGTGTTTCGGCCCACCGCCTGCCTCTCACATCCTATGCCAAATACCCCCTTGGTTTCTTGTGGCTTCTTTTTTCACTTATTTTCCCTCCCACACTGGGGAGCAGCATCAGAGGCAGGGCCTACGCTCTGCTCAGTTTCTAAAACTGACAAGTAAAGGGGAAAATTTAACTACAGGCTCACTGGTGCCACACCTGCCTGGACCACTAAGTCTCCGGCTTCCCTTACCAAAACATAGGAGGGCACCTTAGGAATTACCTGTGCGTTCTCCCGCTCCTGCTGCAACACCTCCAGGCGCTGGTTGCTGAGCTGGACAAGCCCGTGCAGAGCCTCGTCCACCTCCTGATAGAGCCTGGTGGCAGCCACAGCCTCTGTACTGGAGGAAGAAAACCACCAGATCACCTGGGGGCAGCTCTACCCATGCACCTCCCATGGCCCAGGGTGATGCTGGCGAGGGCCAAGTCAGTTGCAGTGAACTTATGGGCATCTCCAGACCACCATGACTTCCCCGTGGCCATCTTATATAACATGGATATAATGTGGGTGGGTGGAAGAAGCCTGCTTTGAGGGGGGGGAACAAATTTCCCTCCCCCAGAGCCTCCATAGGCCTGATGTGGTCAGGGAGCAGGGCCATCTTTATTCTGCCCTGGGCTATTTTTCTGAGAGAGGCATGGAGTTCTGTGCCTCTTCCAGTGCAGGGAAAGAGCCAGTGCTGGAAAGAGCAGAAATCAATCCCCCTGGGCAGTCTTGAATCCCCCGCCTCCAGCATCTCTGCAAGAGAAAGCACAAACAAGGAAATCCTTGCTCCAGCATGGATGCCTCCAAGAGGCCTGGAGGAATCCAAGGTGACTCCACCAAGTAGATGAGATATCTTGGCAGGAGGTTCCCTTCCCATGATAGGATCGAGAGTCCTTAGAATCCAAATATGCAACATAATTCTTCTTGTTTGGGAGTGTTTTAAGAAAAGTTTGGATGAGTGTCTATCCAGAATTATTATTTTTAATATATATTTTATCTGTATAGCAGGAACAAGGAGAAGACTATGATTCTGACAGTTAAAAGGCTTCCCCAAGTCATTTTATTGCATAAATTCAATCAAAAGTCTGCTGCCTCTCTGCTTTCCACCCTTGTGCCTTAGGGCCAAACTGGAGGTTACATGCAAATGCATCCAAAGACACTTCAGTAAATACTTTCTTGTAAGAAAAGCAATTTTTCAAGCTGAGAAACAAGGTGGAGGAGGGGGAGGAGAAAAGAAAGGATAAGAAGGGCCTGCTTAACTTTTAACATGCTTTTCCATTCCAAATTGCTTCCATGATTTTCCCATATACATCTGAAAAAATGTTTCAGAGCTGTGTTGGCTCGCAAGTCAGACAAAGATCAGGGTTTAAGTGTCCATTCAGCTATGAAGGTCCCCTTGAATCAGCTGCTCTCTCAACCTAAGCTATCTGGCAGGACTGTTGTGAGGACGGCACCATAGCAGTGAGGAAGGGAACATCACACACACTGCCCTGAGCTGCTTGGAGGAACAGCGGGATAGTTGCAACAGTGCCGTGCTGCACACAAGCATGGAGATCCTTTACACCGGAATGGCAAGTCACCAATCTGCCTTATGGCCCTCTAACTCGGCATCTTTGAAGCATCCCCTTCAGACACATCAGTGCTTTACCCTGAAGAAGTGATTCAAGACATTCAGCTGAACAACACTTAAGCGTACTGTGCAAGTTTTAAAAAATCAGCAAGTGCTGGTCTTGTTTTATATAACTTCACTGAGAAGCAGCAGCACTGCTTCCTCTAAAATGTTGAAGTAGTAAGTAAACAGGGAGGACGAAGAGAACTTGCTGTACGGTGCCTGAGCCCCAATCCTTACCTGCAGGGCCCCAAGGAAGGCAGTCGTGCAAGCAAGGACCCTCCCCGACGCTGCAGCTCCAAGAGGCATGGTTCTGAGAGTAGTTTTTGCATGGTCTTTTGGTGCAAGGTGATTTGTGCTGACAGTTCCTGCAATGATTAGATGACAGAGCAAAGGGGGCAGGATAAGGCAAACAGCCCAGGAAGGCTGCCCTCAACAACAGAGAGGCATGGCTATATAGCAAATGCTTTCCAACAATGCTGACTGCAACAGCACAAGCCCTGGAACAAGTTAACTGGAGTTGTATGCCTCCTGTAAAAAGCAAAACAAAAGCAAGACATCCAATTCACCCTCATCCCAATTCAGCAACAACAGGCAGCTTGAATTCTGCAATGGCTACATGTTACATTGCTTATTGTTCTCATTTGCTCACATTCATCTGCATACTTTAGTCTTTCGGCCAGTCACAGAGAAAATCAAATAACTATACAAAGCAATGTCACCTCTCTTTTGTGAAGCCCATATTACTATTATTGTTATTACATTCCATTTACATACATCCCACTATATTTGCAGGGAACCCAAGACAGCTTATACAGTTCTCTTCCACTCTGTTTTCCATAATAGGTAATAGCAACCATAAAAAGAATCAAATAAATGCCGGAGTCCATAAACTATAGTATTGAGCATCATAAAAGTAATTGATTTCTTGCTCCCCTTCACATTTTTTATCTGGTCCAGCTCAGGTAGCAGAAGAAACAACTTTTCATACAAGGTCCAGTATCAGAGGTGGTGTGCTTATGTACACTGGATGATGGGCAATCCTTGGTGAAATCTTTCATTGAACTGACCTATAACAGATGCTATCTGGTTATTTAATTTAACAAAACAGGGAAACAATCCTTATTCAAAGTTATTCCAAGAGAAAAGCAGATGCAAATCCAAACCCCCAAATTATCAGGGCCTCTATTCTTCACTATGACTGTTTGATTCAGAAAAACGCAACAGAGGAATGAGCATGAAGCAAGAGTTATTTTCTCCAAATAATTGACGGAGCAAAATTGTAGCATGTGCTTTTGCATGAGCTACCAGTTACAGAATTATACAGTCCGCCCACATCACTTCTGGAGAAATGTCAAGTGTGTTTACCTCCTGACTTGATGCTGTTTTCACCGCCTTGAGGTGGGCACTGACTTCACAAACAGCCTGTAGAACACGATGGCAGAGTGTCTGCAGTTGATCAAGAGCCTGTTCAGAAAGAGAAAGAGAGAGCAAGAGGTGACCATCACTACAGAGCTAGAATGTACATGAAGGTCTCTTAGCAGTGCCTCATATTCACAGTGGCTGGATTCATGGGGGTTTTCTCCACTGTTGCTCTGTCTTGCTGTCCAAACCCAGTCATGGTATTCCAACATGGTAAGTTTGGTCTTTAGAGACCACTATAAGAAACAATGGCTTGTTCCATGGTTTCGCCGAAACACCAGGGCTTGTTGTGTTGTCTGAACCTAGGATCAGTTTCCACAGTGCTGGTATGCAACCACCACAGAAGAGTGGTAACTGCAGAAGCTGCTCCAGCCACCCTGCCTCTATGTGTGGACCAATGAGGAAGAGGTGGGGGACATAGGCAGGGAGGGATGAACCTTGGGATTTGGTGGCTGATGAAATACGTGCCAGCAGTGGGAGAACCTAGCAGGGAAGATGGAAACCATGATGTAGTAGAAACTACTTGATTATCAGTCAGGAAGATCATGGTGAAAAAGCATGGTAATCATGCAAGGTTGTTGCCATGTTGTGTGAAGGCAGCCACTGACTTGTTAACAGTATCTGTGGTTGCAGTGCCATATGGGCTCATCTGAGTTTGCGCAAGAACCAAATGCAGTTGGGGTGGGGAGTATGAGAGATATATTTAAAGTCTTTAGGACAGGAGTGGGCAAGGAGACTGGGGAACCATTCCCCTCCCAGTAGGCTGTGCTCCTCCATGCCCTTCTCTCATGAGGAAAAAATATTTTGCCACTGGTTTTCATCAGCAAACTGCTATGGAATACCACAGCTAAAGCCAAAATGTAGCCGTTCTTGTGTTTCACAGCAGTTCGCTGCTGGTTTGAAGGCATACTAGGAAATGGTTGCTTACGGCCACAGGTCTCAGCGAGCAACAGGAAGCTGTGATGAGGGCTGCGTGTGGCCTGCGGACTATGTGTTGCTCACCCTGCTGCAGTGGAAAGGCAGTGGACAAAGACATTCACTACATTATTGTTGTAAGCCGCCCCGAGGCTTCGGCGAATGGGGCGGCATAAAAATGTTTAAATAAATAAATAAATAAATAAATCTAGCCAGGAGGTCAGGGCAAGGCTAGAAAAAGGTCAGACTGGTTCTTAAGGTAAACTCTCTGGGGCAATGTAACATATATTTCATGCTAGGTTTTCTTACCTGGTGTTCCCCAACCCATTTGGATGGCGAGTAGTGCAGGGTCCCCCCGAGTGCTGGAGTCAGCTGTTCTGCGGCTATGTGATGGGGCAGTTCTGAAAGCGGGAGAAGCTGCACTTCCTACAGGACAAGGAGACCACATTGAATGCAAGCTGTGCCAGGGTCTCCACTCCTTGAAACAATGGCTGTTCCCAGTTCCTGACCCATTCCCCACCCCGCCCCCTCAAACCCCAACCACGAACCAGAGGTTAACTTTAGGCCCAGACTGGCATTAAAGGGGATTCTGCTGTGTTCATAATTGTCCCAAAGCACCACTTATACCCAGTTCCAAGCAGGCCTTAGCAAAATGGATCACTGTTTGCACTGGAAACTGCAGGTGGAGAGTCTGTGATTCCGATCGTGCCCATAGCAAAGAGGGAGGGTTTAGGTCCCCCTACCCACACACTAGGATCCCAATCCATGTCAGGGTACTTCATCTACAAAATACTGTAATGTCTGTTTTGGCCCTCAGTAACATGGAAGGGCAGACAGACACAATGGACTATTCATTTTGGCTAAGAAAAAATTACAGTGTCTCTTTCTGCCCCCTCTGTGCAGAAAACTGTGGTAGCTATTCACACTTCTTTGAGATTTATTTACTGCCTGCTTGGCCTACCCTCTTCCTCCAAGGAGCATAGTGCAGCATCTATGTTCTCTCCCCAGCAATTTTTATCCTTGCAGCCACCTTGCGCGGTAGGTCCATGAGCTTCATGGCTACCTAAATCCTCCCAATGGAATTTAATATGACCATATCGTCTCTCTCACTTCTTAGCCACCTTAAGCACACATCACCAAGCAGGAAAAGCATCACAGCACATCACCGAACTGTGCAGAAGTTCAGGGCATATTTATTTTCTTCATTATCAGGGCAGGATTCTGTAGTGTTGCATTTCTCTGCTGGATGGAACTCTTGGGATAAGTCAAAGGAAAGCTTTAGGTGTAAATGCATGCGACCTGGTTGGAATTTTTCTATAGGTAGCCATGTCCTGGTTCTGAACACAGAGGAGCAGGGGAGTGGCTGAACGTCTGTTTTGCATGCAGAAGTGCTGAAGCTCAATTTCTGGCATCTCTGGGTTAGGCCAGGAAGGAATCCCTCCTGGAAACCCGCAGGGCTGTAGCCAGGCACTGCTAACAGGATTGGGATAGGTGGACCAAAGGTTGAATGCAAGCAGCTTTTGTTGCCATAACAGGTGGCCTTTTACAGAGCTCATTATGACTTTTTCTCTCTCCACAAATGTACTGTGTCCCATTTATCTCTACCCTTCCAACAAATGGCCTTCTGTGCCAGCGCTGAGAGGACTTACCGCAGTAGGTTCCAAGACCAGTTCCTCTTCGTGGGGCACAAATCGATCGTCCGGGGGTAAGATCACCAACAGCTGACTAATGGGAGGCGGGGAACCCTCCTACAAAATAAAGGCTGTTGCTTCAGGGTGGCTGATTTGAATAACGAGGAGGGCAGGAGGACCAGATGAGGACACTTTTAATTCTGCTTTCTGCAAATACTGAAGGCTGAACAAATGTGTTTGTCTTTCAGTTGTTGCAAGATTCTTAGTTTTCTTGCAACACACTAAGATGGCTACCACTCTCAGTATTGTAATAACAATAATCACAGCAACACCATGTTCTTTTTTGTGTATTTTTTAGATTTCAAACCAGTGATATCTGTTATGTTTATTGCAACAACAAATTACCGCAGCTTGTAGTTGTTGTAAAAAATACAAAAATAGACCTCTCCATAAACAGCAGTATAAGGAGACCATCAGCAGCCCACCAACCAAGGAACAGGAGTGGAAAACTTTAGGGCATGGGGAGGGAGAGAGAGCTTTACCACTAGAGTCAAGGTGATACCTGGAATGCTCGTAAGGCCGGCAGCAGCACAGGGGCTTGGAGGGCCCAATCATCTACCTGGCTCAGGTCCATCAGCACTGTCATCCCAAGGACTTTCAGTTCTTGCCTGCAGTATTTGTGAAGAGACAGGGGTAAAACTGATCTCACCATTAGGAAATCCTACCTCAGCTGAGCTTAGGCTCATTAAAGCGAGGGCTTACAAAAGTTGGCCAGTTATTTCCCATGTTATTTAGTACCTTCCTGTTATTATCCTCAAAGCAATACCATTTTAAAGCCCAAATGTACCCATTCTGCAGATAGAAAGAATAAATCCATGTCTGCATTTCTTTTTGTTACATTTCTTTTTTTCCTTTCAAGGAACTCAAGAGAGACACTGCTCCCAGTAGTGATGCTGGTTGGTTTTCTACTTTTAGGTTTCTGGTACACATACAATACTAAAGAACATGCACTGTTAAGAGATCCCTAATTAAGACATGGAGAATTGACAGCATATCTGGGCAGGGATTTCTATTAAGAGTAATAATTAATGCATGAGTAGGCATATGGTAATTTTTACAAGTGTTCAAGAGGCTCTACATATTCCATCTCAATCAAGCTTACAGTAAGTTAGCTCAGCATTATCATCTCAACATTATAAATGTGGAGGTTTGGATGTGAGACTTGCCTAAACCCACCAAATGAATTCATGGCTATGGCAAGATAGGAATCGGGTCTTTTTCAGCTCAGGGCTTGTTCCGTTAATGATTATGCTAAACTAGCTCATGAAAAAACATCCACATTTAAGTGTGGCTCCAAGGCACTTTTATGCCCTGTGTTAAACAAGCATTCATTACCAATGTAAACAGGTGCTGAACTGATTTTAAACCAATTTGACTGTTAATGGCTTCCTGTGGCAGCTTGTTAGGGTTGAGCTTTCATAAGGAACATTTCCTGCTTGCCTGTCACTTATTTTGGGGATCTTTCCAGGAAAGTCTTCATCAGCCTCATGGAAAAGTGATTCACACACGTACAATGGTTAGCTCAGGTAGGCAGGCTGACTGCAGCTGCATTCACTCATCATACTAAGCCACCCTGAGGACAAGCTATGCAGTGTAAGCTTCTCACAAAACCAGCCGGACAGATGAGCGGGACACTTGCCCCAGGCCTCCTTCCCTCATATCCCAGTGCCCTTGGGGCAGAACCCAGCCTGTCTCCCCCCCCCCCAGCCCCCTCCCCACTCTGCCTGTGAATGCTTTGCATTCAGCATCCTCCTTTTAAAACTTCAGGAGTATGCAAATGAGATCCTGTGTTCTTCCTCTGCTACAGCTTCTTATAATTTTGGCCCCAGCAAATGTTGCACTTGTTTGTTAGAAAGCCGGTGCAGAGCACTCTCAGTAACTGATCTGTGATGCATTGAGAAAACAGCAAGTAGATGAAACATGAAAGGACTGCCAGGGCTTAGGAGGAATGGCAAGGATTGACGGCTGACGCGGACACATTCCCCAGTCTGCTGTGCGAGGCAGCTGTCTCCCCCCGCTCAGTGCTAGCTCACCTGAGAAGTGAGTGCAGGTATCTCAAGGTACGGACCAGGACCTCTTGTCTCGGAGGCAGCTCATCCCGAATGGGCTGTGGCACCACGGTCAGCAGGGAGCGTCCTGCTCGGTCCATCCCTCCTGGTGAGGCGAAACACAAGGGAAGCATGATGAAGCCATAGGCTGACATGTTTTCCCTAGGCCTGAGAGAGCTCTGAGCATGATTCATGCAACTAAGAGACGGGCCACTCAAAACCCAACTCTCATTGCTTACGGGTTCAATCCTGCCTAGCCCTGAGCAAGACTTCTCAGTCCACTAGGGCTCAACTGCTGTGCAACCTGCCAGTGCCAGGCACAAAGAAGTTCCAGCTGAGCGGGAGAAGACCAGCACGAGCTGCCACTGCCATCTATACAACCTCCTTGTCAATGATGGCTTTCCATTCAATACCAGAAAGTCGGGCTGTGCAACACTCCAGAGTTTTCTTAATTCTGTGCTAGCAATTTTGGTGATTTGCCTGGGCTCCAGAAACCATGGAGCAGGACAGCACCATGAAGGCCACACACATGGAGCTTGCCACATGGAGGAGCCGCATGCGTGACTTGTTTGGGTGACCCAGGCCATCAAGCTAGGGGATTCTGCTGTCTGTCTTCAAGCCAACACTGGTAGTACAGTGTTGCTCCCCAAGGCAAAGATGAACTCTCCTCAAGGCAGGTTAGGCCTCTCGGACTGGGGCCCTCTCACTTGACTAAAAAGCACAAAGACACTGACTCACGTCATCTTGTGTTCTGTGGAAAATGGGAGTGGTGGAGACTACACATCGCTATCTCTAACCATTGGCCCTGCTAGCAGGGATGATGAGACTTGGACTAGGCAGCAATCAGGGGAGACTGGGATAGGGATTCCCAAGCATGGCATGCAGGAAGCAAGAAAACCCAGTGAGGAGGAACTGTCTCTGAAGTTTCACCTGTTACGTGGATAAAAGAGAAACAAAATAGAGAACCCAGGACTAAAATCAAATGGAATTTATCCAGAGAAGCACAGAAGGCATTCTTATGAAGGGCTTGGAGGGTAAAACCAGGTTGAAACAATAAAGTAGAATCAAGGGGACAGTCATTGACAGACTTCTGAAGTGCACAGTTAAGTGTTTGCTTTTAAGCATCCATGTAGGTATGTGAATGAGGGAGATATATGCACTACTCAGAGAGTCAGGAATGGCCACAAGACCCTGTCATGTACGTGTTTGCGGCACATAACTTTGTGGAAATGTTCAGGTACAGTTGCTCCAAGTTTTATTCTGGAACAGGGATAACACAGGATTTGAAGAGAGGAAGTAGAGGACAGAACTTAGCATAGCCAATGGGGTGTGATTACAAAGTATATCCCTTTACGCAATCAAAACAAAGGTTTTATAAAATATAAATTATTATTACAGGAAGAACACATGAGCTCAAACTCTACAAAAAACTTACTGTTCCACCTTCCCAGTGTTATATTACCATTTCGAGTTGGAAAAACCCTGTAATTTCCCACTGATCCAACCATTCCATTTCCTACTAATTCCTATCATTTATTCACTCACTCCACAGCAGCAAATAAACAACAGAAAACCTTGGATTCTGAGATAAATTACATTCAGAAGCTTCACAGAAGGAAAGTTGTGAATCTTCTTTTCCCACAGTCATCTGTGAAACTATGAAACTTCAACCCCTTGCTGAAGGGAAGAATCGCTTCATTTATCTTAAGACCCATTCTACTTTTGAACTTCAAATTCACAGAGGGAAAACCCTCCTCAAATCTCACCCTATATTTTTCAGGATTTCCCCAACTCTCCAGTAAAGTTTTTGGTGGGTCACAGATGGCTACAGAGGTGGGGAAAATACACAGGCAAACATTTTATACTCAGTGAACTTCCAGAAGAGTGTAATCCTGGACATTGTCTGAACTCAATAATGCTTACTTCTAAGTAACCATATATAGGATTGCAATGTATGCTAACTAATCCTAGGGGTCAAGCCATAGCAGGCTTATCCCCTTTTCATTGTGTATATGTTTGCATGTTGCGGGGGGGATCTCAAAATGAAGGCTATGCATAAGACAACTCCCACCACACACACAATTTTTTCCTGCTGAGGAAAATCCTGGTAAAGAGCAGGCATAGACCTAATTTCAAAGGTTCCCTGCAAGGAATCAGTTCAGACTGCTGGCAAGAGCAATCTGTCCCTTCCTTGGCAGCCCATTGTGCAGGAGTCAGAGGGAGGAAGTGAAGGGAGAAACAGGGAAATGGGGGGAGGGGGGGACAACCCACTTTTGGCAGGTTGGAGAAGGCTGAGGTAGATTCCCCTGAAGGTGTTTCCACGCTACCATAGTACCATGCAGGGAATGCTGTGGTGTGAGGAATCCAAGGATTTGATACAATCTTTCCTTCCTCCAACAGAAAGAGTCTTCCGCTGATGGACCAGGTCTTTCCAACAGAGGAAGACTCCTTCCATCAAAGGAAGTGAACTTTGGATCCAACTTCAAGTGTCTCTAGCTCCAACTGAAAGGAAACATCATTTCCCCACTAACATAGACAGCTCCTAAAATGGATCAGATAAGCATATGGAAAAAGGCTCAATTCAGTCATTAGTTACTATAGCTAAATGCAGTTCACATGGGACTAAGGCAATAGAGCTCTAGATAGCAGCTGAAGACTAGAGTGGCTATGTGTCCTACTTAAATAGCACAGTCCTCTATTTGATGGGCTATGTAAGCCAAGTCCAGCTTCCAGATAATGAGCCACCACACCACCCAGACCCTATGGAAATGGGGCAGCATATAAATATTAAGATTTTTAGAAAGCACTCTGGGGCCTTGAAGCTACCCATCAAAGTTAGCACCTGGGCAGGACACACAGATTACCTGGTCAGAGTCTTCTCCACTATGGTTGGATGCACTAAATTTCAGTCAAAATTAAAGCAATATTGCTACCTCTCCTTCTCATTTTTGGGGACCCATTTCCTCTTTTGGGAGCCAAGTTTCAGTGGCCACCCTGACATGGGCTGACAACAGGCAGGATTTTGCCTTATCTTCCCAGTGTGTGAACTCTCAAAGGCATCCAACTGCCCTCTGTTGGAAACACAACACTGGGTTATCCAATGCTGCTTTAACTGGATGCTGGTCTATCCAATAAGGCTGTTCTTACCCAAATAACTAGCTGGGAAAGAGGGCAAAAGAGCTTTCTTAAGGAATAAGGAGGATGCCACTGACTGCCTTTTCTGAGGTAAAACCTCCTTAGTCCTGCCTGGCTGTGGCCTTTTCAAAGTTCCCCCCTGTGTGCCCCATTTTAACTTTGCTCTCTTTTCCTGCCTTTGCTTCTGCTTCCCTTCTGTGGATGCCCCTCAGGGAGGTCTGCCTCCCATTTTGCAAGCCACAGGCCTTCGGTAATGTGATCAGGCGCTGGTGTTTTTTTGGGCTGTGTCTTGTGGCTTTGGGTGAGGGAGCGGTTTTTGCAAAACGTTGTGATGTGGTGAGCGAGTGGGCTTATTTTGCACGACCTCGTGATGGCAAAAATGCCCATTCACGGAAAGTCAGTTTGCCTAAGCAGGCGTGTTCTGCAGAGATCTTTCCCTGAGTCCGGTTCTGGGATGCAATCTGATCTGCAGCTTGCAAGACGCCTCTGTGGGTGCTGCAGGCCTGCACTGCTATCTACACACCCCAAGCGAATGTGTGTTTATTCTGAAGCAAGTTACACTGTAACTTTCGGCCAAACTGAGTGTAAAGAACTCCAGTCTTGCTTTTCTGTTAAGCTACAATTGACCTGAGTTTTATGGGGGCATAAAATCTTGAGCAGAAAATTCAAATGGCACCCTCTCTCATCAAACTCACACAAGGTACAGTCCACAGGGAAACTTCCAGCCCAATGGATGCAAGCAGGAGGTAGATGCGAAGCTCTTAGCTTCTATCAGTTGCCGTCAGGAGAACATCTTGGCATATTGCACCCCTTGGCTCTGACCAAACAGACGCCAAAAACTCCTTCTTGAGAAGGCTCCATCCTCACCTAGTCTCATGGTGATTTTGTCTCTAAGTTACAGGCATTTCTAAATCAATGTTGCATCAAAGTTTACCAATTTCTGCTTGCCCTAGCCTCATCTTGTTCTCATAGTGCCATTCCGGTATGCCTCCCAGATGGAAGTGAACAGCGTGCCAAGTGACAGAGACAGCCTTGCCTTTTAAAGACAGAGGGAAGAAAAACACAGGGGCAGAAGCACACTTTGGCATCAGCGCCCTGGAGTTTATGGTGTCCAAAGGAAAAATGAAATAAACCAGGACAGGGGAAGCAGGTGCCTGGAGTGACAGGGCATCCAAAGTTCTCTAAATAGCAAATGAAAAGGGAAATAGACCATTCAAAGCAGAAATGTCTCATTTGCATCATCCAAATAGACACCTACTGGATAGTTGCAATCTGTACAACAAAAAGTGATAACTTATAATTTATTTATTGTGTATTTTATTCTATGCTGTGAGCCGCCCCGAGGCTTCGGCAAGGGGCGGCATAGAAATGTTTTAATAAATAAAATAAATAATAAATTGTTATAATTACTTGTACCGATAAGTAACGATACTTAGCATTTAGATACAGACTTCATGTGCTTGAAGAGCATTGCATACTTACAGCAATGCATAAAGTAGACAATATTAAATTCCCCATAGGGCAGATGGAGGGACAGGGAGTGTGACAGAGAGATTAGGACCTGCCTGCAGTCCCTGGGCAAGACTGTGGGATTTGCTGCAACAGCTAGGGCTTTGTCAAGCAGTGCCTGGAAAAACATGTTGACTGGTGTAAAACCCATTTAGATTTGTGGTGTGGATGGATATGCTTTTCTTAAACAAGCAAGCCTCACTTGTCCTGATGTATAATACAGACATGATGCTGGCCCTGCATTACCACTCCACTGCGGCTGCAAAAGCATTAGGAGATGAAGCATTCTGCATATTCTTTCTAAGTGCTGTGAAAACAGTAGAATAAGCCAGGTCCAAGGCACACCAAGAAGCCTCTCTGTTTATTGACTTACCTGTCAGAGCAAAGACACCTGACCGCAGAAGCTCCCAGTCTACAGAATGCCCAAGGTGAGCCACTGCAGGGAGAGGGGAATTCTGAGTTTCCTCTGCCTCCTGATTAGCAGCAGCACCTGGGGCTCCCTCTCTCCCATCAACACTTGGCTCGTTCTTCCTTGGAAACTTGGGAAATGTCGGCTCTACAGGGTCAGTGGCAAGGTTCTGCTCTTTCATGCAACATCCCTCCGAAGTGTCCAGCCCTTGTTGTTCTGTGGCACTAGCACTCTGGTCCTCCGTGCCATCTCTTGGTTCGTCAGCCTCCACTGTGGTGGCTGGCTCTTCAGGGCAGATGCTCAGGCTGCCTCTGCGGCTGCTCCTTTCTCCGGTGCCAGTGCTGCTGTCTCCGGTGCCAATGCAACACTCTTCTGGGCTGCTCTCTGGCTCCCTGATGCCAACATTACATTCCCTGATGCCAGCAGCCAATTCGCCGGTGCCAACGACACTCTCCTCTCCAGTGCCAATGCTCTGCTCTCCTGAGAAGCTGCCTTGCTCCTGGGTGCTGTTTCCATCTGTGATGCCAGCAAAGCATTCCTCACTGCCAGCAGCTTGCTCCTTGGTACTGCTTTCTCCTTTCCCGGATTCCTGCTCTCCCGCATCAATGCAGGTTTCTTCTTTCCCAACCTCTTTTACGTTAGCAGAAGCCTCCACTTCCTTGCCTGCTAAGTCAGCCCCTTGTCTGATTCGGCCACTGGCCCCTCTCCCAGCTCCCTTTTTTTTCCTGCGGTTTCCCTTTGCAGTGCGCTTTGGGGTGGCAGACGCTGGAGTCTGGCTGTCACTGCTGGGACAACCAGGATCTTGGTGAAGGGATCCCGAGAGCTCTACTTGCCCTAGTCCTGGGTCTTCAGCAGCAGCGGGAGTGGCGACAGCAAAAGCAGCAGCCCCAAAGATGGCTGGCCGAGCCTTAGTTCCACAGGGCCCCTGGCTGTGCTCCAGTTGCCCCGGACTCGAGTTCCTAGCTGCCCGAGAGGCTTCCAGTGCTTGACCTAATGCTGGGCTGGGATCCCCCCTCTGTTGAACAGTTTTGTCCCCACGAGAGCTGCTCTCTTGGCAAGATCTCTCGGCCTCCTGGGTTTTGCAGGCTTGGCGCAAAGCAAAGTTTTCCCCATAGCCGGATTTGTGGTGGAGCCAGGCCCGGTGGCGCCGGCTCCGGCTCTTGCCATGCCCCTTGCGGGCAGGCATGGTCTGGATCTGGGCACCACAAGGCCGGGCAGTCCTGAGGGGCTGGTGCAAAGTGGGGCTGACCTCCAGGAGGTGGACGTACTCCCCCTCAGACTCCCGGTTCTCCCCTCCGGAATGGCGCCCGTCCCCGGGACTCCGTGCCCCAAGCACCTCGGGAGCCAAATCGAGCGGGCAGCGCTGCCCCACGATAAATCCGTCTTTGTGCACGAACTGGGGGTATACCAGCTCGGGCCAGGGCAAGCTCAGCACCTGCTCACCAGCTGCCAGTAGGCAGCGCTCCAGGCACCCCGCCCGGCGCTCCTTGTTGACGCCGTTGAGCCACTCGACCGTGAAAAGGAAGGGGTACGACTCAGGGGAGACGGGGAGCTCTTGCACGCCCCGGCCTTCTGGCGCCAGGCACTTCAGCACCAGGCGCGGTGCACACTCCCGGTGAGGCACCACCTGCAGGTAGAAGTCGCCAGGGCAGAGCCGTTGCCACGGCAGAGAGCCCAGCTGCACCAGAATCTTCTCACGCAGGCAGAGTGGCCAGCCCTCGTGGCAGAACACAAACCCGCTGTACTGGGCCTGGAGAGGGGCAGAGAGAGAAGGGAAGGTAGAATTCTAGGCGAGGTCTCTGCAAAGAAGTAGCAAGTCAGAACTGCCCATCCAGAAACACTGTTCTGTGTAAACGGGGAGCAATGCCAACTTGCACATCTTGGCTTATTTTGCACAGTTCATTCTGCTTTTATCAATCATGCTGAGGGGTAGGAAGCCAGTTCCGTACTATGAGAAATTCTGCTGGGCTTCCCTCTCTGGCATTTCACAAGTCATTCTACTTTTTAGAACATCCCACAATCTTAAGGGCTAGAAACTTTGATTTTAACATGAAAGCTGAAAGTCACAGAATGCCAAAATCTGCTGCCACTTTTTGCACTTGCATGGGGTACAATCATGGAACATACTCAGTCCCATTTATTTAGAAAGTCCCATTTATGGATTAAAATCAGTGTCCGTGATCAGAGTTGACACCCTTAAACTTCCCCACCATACACATCTGCACAACAGACTAGTGTGCAGGACAGATTCATTTAATCTGGAGGGTGAAAGGATAATGGAGTGAAGATCCAATCATATTTTAGGACTCAGCTGTACTGCTGATCTTGGGCCCTCCACATGTTGTTGGACCTATAGTTCTTCTCACCCTGACTACTGACCACAGTGGCTGGGGCCAATGGGAATTGGCTCCAACACCAACTGGAGGGCCCCGGGTTCCCCACTTCAGTCAATGCAAGCCTCAGACAAGCACATGGAGACCCTCTACACTGCCCAAGGGTGTGGCGCTATCTCCCCCCGCTTCAGAGGTAGTCCAGAGGAACAGAGAGCCAAACCAAGGCAGGCGCTCACACAGGCTTCACTCTGGATGCGGGCCAGGATGTGCTTGGCAGGAACCAGGAAGTCCAGGGTGTAGCGCAGGGCGTCGTGCTGGTACGTCCGCTCGAGCACCTCGAAGACCTGGCTCAGCAGGGTAGGGGCAGTGGCTTCAAAGGGGGGGTACAAGGCAGCCAGCGTGCTCTGGACACATTCCTCCACTGGTTCGGGTTCCTGAAAGCACATCAAAGAGAGCGCGCGTGTGAGGCAGACTCAGCATGTAACAGCCCCATCCAGCCCATGCTGCCCCTCCCCGACTCCCCAGGGCTGTTCTTTGGTCACCCAGGCATTCTGCACCAACCCCCGCATCATCATGCACTTCCGAATCATCCCCACCAGTTTGCACCAGCTGCACTGGCGTAGCTACACTGTCTTGTCTCTCCTCAGGTGCAATGCCCTTTCTTGTTTTGTTGCTCTTCTGCGACACACAACTCGTGATGCTGTGCTGGAGCCAGGGCCTGTTCTATTTGACCTTACCTTTTGATATATATATTTTAGGCTGCCTTGCTCAGCAAGCTAGCAGAAGAGTCCAGCTGCTAGGGTCACCTGCAGCAACAAAGCCTCACATTTTGTGCCTGGAGGCAGACCGCTGCCCCCTAGTGGCCTGCCAAATGGGGCAGGGCAGCAAGGGGCGACACACACAGAGACCAACCGCGTCTGACAGAACAGGGGGCATGAGGGGCAGCGAGAAAGAAAGAGTTTGGGAAAGTGCCAAGGCCTGAGAATGGAGCAGCGGAGGCTCCATCTGGAATACATTAGCAGCTGTGAGCTCATTCCTTCCGCAGTTCCACCCAGCAGAGGAAATGGGGTGGGTGGGTGGGGGGAGACTGGAAGGGAAGGGGGCCAACAGCAAGCAGCAGCCATTCTGCCAAATCTTCCAGTGAAGAGTCCCAATAGCTCTTTTCACACTGTGCCCACCAGGCAACCCTAATTCTGGAACACAATTTCAGAAATTCCCTTTTGACTACTAAAAGGATGGGGAACAAATTTCTTGCCTTTGTGCCGGAATGTCAATCAAATAATTCTACCCCTTTGATTTTGTTTTGGTTTGGAAAATGCTAAAAATCAGAATGGAGCTGGAGCTTGCAGGTCACACGCTGAAATATGTACAGATTTGGGGTGCTGAAATGCGTTGACGTATATGCAGCCCAACCAAGAGGCAGAGTGAGGCAGCTGATTTGGGGTGTTATGAAGAGGCAGAAACCTTGAATGCAGTTATTATTTTGGTATTTTTGGTGGAGGGGGATTGTGGACTTTTCCCCCTCCTCAGGTGTCAAGCTCTAAAATTAAAAGCTTTTGCAACATGAAATCAGGCCCTACATCCAATTAGCTGGTAGATTCTCTACTCTAGCAGTGGCTCTCTTGCAGTACCACTGTTCAGCCTGGTACCCTCCAGATATATCAGATTACAACTGCAATCATCCCCAGCCATCTCACACATGCTGGCTGCATACATTTTGCTGCATACATTTTGCAGACAGTGCAGGAGAAAAGCCTGAAGAAAAGCCGGAACTGAAGGCTTTTTACATGAAAGGCAAGAGAGCTACAACGAAATGCTATGACCCTTCTGGAGACCCTGGCCTTCCCTTTTCACACAGCTGGGCCTGAACTGGACCACTTGGTGGCTTTTCTGGGAGTAACCATCACCAAACCATACCTTGAGTTCTAAGCCACACTTTATTTTGGAAAATGAAGGAATGTATGCTTGTTTCACATTCCCAGCACATCTCCCCCCCCCCACACACACACACACACATCATCATTTCTGCAACTTTCTGGCACAGGAGCAGAAAAGTACAGACTTGGAGCCAGCCAAGCCTGAGGAACGTTTCATATCACCGACAGGAAGAAGCACCCCCCTTCCCACCCAGACACTGGCAGGAGGCAGGAAGGAGCGGGGAGGCCCCTTCTTGGCTCAACGTCCTGGAGGGGCTGCGAGGCAGACAGTTCCAATGAGAACAGTGGTTGGCAGAAACACAGACAGCCGTCTGCTTCCAGTAATATTGCCAGTGCTATATTTTCTCCCTCCCTCCTTCAGACAGAATTGGAGCCTCCACATGTTCATTGCATAGACTAATAAATGAACGCACTCTCCAAGCGTGAATTCTCCTGCAACAAAAACTGCAGCATATATTCATGAGAGGGAGGTCAGCAGCAGACTTGGGGGAAGCCCGGCATTTGCAGGAGTGCACAAAAAAAACTGTAGAACAAAACTAAGAAGGGGAGCCCAACATCAGCACAATAAGGAGTGAGCATGCTCAATGGACACAGAATTCTGATTGACACTTGTGGAGGGTAGGAATGGAAAAAAGGGGGAGGTGGAACAGAATAGCCTATCTGGGAGGCAGGAATGGTTAGTTTGTTGGCCAACACAATGAACAGGAGCATTTCTACACTGCAATATTTTGTTGCAGGTCTCTCAGTGGGTAGAGACTGGAAAGGAGTAGAATCTGTCATGCAACCCAGTTTACATGCTAAATGTTCTATATGAGACCATTTTTCTTGGCCTGATGAGATGGATGGGTAGAGTAGTTGACTTTTGGATTACACAGACTCTTGCCTGTGTATATTTCTATGAAAGAGTTCTGTGCAACTGAAAAGCACAAAGAGTTGGAGAAAAATTAGACATGAAAACATCTCTGGATTGTTCCCTACATCTTCTGTGTTCAATCCAAAGCAACTGACTTATTGTCCTAACTTTATTATTATTTTATTTTATTTTGGATAGTTGTATGCCATCCTTTGCAAGAGCCTAACTTGAAGTTTAAAAGCTCACAGTAAACTTCTGCCTCCTGACCATTTACCCACTTCTCGTGTACTAAACAGCCAAGGAACATTCCATCCTTAAGCTGTTGTCCAAGATGTCTGGTCTGGGAGAAATAATTTGGGTTGCAGAAGAAACAAGCCAGTGTTGTAAGTATAGGTTATGATGATGAAGCAAACCATAGGTTGCAACTCTGGGTCATTTTCCCATTAACAACCCAAAATTCTGAGTTCAGATGTCATGAAGAGCAATGCAAGGATGGAACATTCCTAATATACAAGTGAGCCAGGACGCTTGCTTGCCCTTGAAGAATCTACAGGTTATTAATTAGGGGTTCTTTAATTGCCCAAGACTATTTTGGATTCATTAATCTGGAGCAAATGCTACACACTCACACACGCACGCGCACACACACACAGAGTTTGCCTCATAAGGGTTTTATGAAAATAAAATGGGAAAGACCACATATACCACTGTGAGCTTCTTGGGGGAAGACTGAGAGTTAAAAAATGTATTTGATACATGTTATTAATGTGTTGAAACCAGTTTTTGGTTATCCAATGACAAAGGAAAGACATGTCTCAAAACATCTTCATTCAGATTTAACAGTTGCATATTTTTAGAGCATTCAAAAAACTTCTCTCCCTCTTCACTGTCTCACACACGTTACCTTAAGAATCATTACAGAAATTATTCTGAATTTACAAATGAGTGCTTGAGGCTGAGAAAGTCAGCATTGTTTGCGTAAGATCATGCACCCTTCCCTTAACTGTTTTGGACTACAGCATACCTAACCATTAGCCATGCAGGCTGCTGTTGATAGGAATGGAGGTTCAAGACATCTAGGATTTGCTAGGTTGTGGAGGTGAACTTAGAGAATTCAAGATTTAAATCAACAACATTCTAGATAATAAGTGAATTTGAGCCACATCTCACAGCAACTGATCCCTGGTAAAAACTGGTTCAGATTAAGCCTCATCTTTTTGAGAGTTCACACATGCACGATCATCACTCAGTGCTGGGCACATGATGTGACTACTCTGGATTTGTGAAAGAGTCATAACATGTGAAATGCTAGCAGCTGAACAGTCCACCTGGCTTCTAATGCCACCTTGAAACACAGCAGCTCTTTTCCATGCGTGTGGCTCATCCCAACCCATGAAGGATTAATTGAGAGTTCACTGCCCAACATGTGGTGAGGAGCATCCATTTTTCAGGTGATTTCTCATCCTCTATGCTAAAACTGGACAAAAGCAGCAGTCGTCGGTGAGAACTGCCTTGTCCAGATCAAAACACAACTCCACCTAGCCCCATACTCTATTTCTAAATGTAACCAGCTCCTGTTCTTATCAGTACAAACCAGTGGTAGATGGTGGTATGTGTATAATTCAGAAGCAGTTTGATATGACCATGAAAGTTTTAGAAAATGACTCATGTCAGAGCTAGAAAATGGCAGAAATGCTGGAAAATAGCTAAGGAGAAGTTACCTGATGTATTGTTTAGGGTCAGGTTAATCCAACTTCACAGGCTTCCTTCTACTAAGGAGTTATTTACAACTTCTACCTCCTTCTGCTGAATATTGGCTAAATTGTTGCCTTTCACAGAGCATGGAAATTTTGTTTAAATTAATTGCTTATCATTGTTTCTCTTCTGGAGCTCGAAAAAGTGTGTTGTGTCTATTTTCCTAGACAAATATTAACATAAGAGCTATTACTTTAACTACCGTTATTCCGATTATTAGTAATTTGGGGAGTACATGATTTTATATAAGTCTGTAAATATTGTGCTTTAGCATTTCATACACTTTACAATTCTAGCATGTTCTGTTTTAAAAAAGTAATCCCCAATAGAGTGCCTTTGTTTGAAATATCTCATGATCAGAATTTCTATTAAAAAAACATCCACTATATTGGTGGGGGGAATGACTTATTTTTCATGATATGGCTTCTAGCTGAAGTCAGCGTTAGAAAGTGTCACCCCAACTTCAGATATTATAGCTGAGGCGTCCATGCATCAAAGAATGGCTGTCACAATTACGTTTCTGTAAATGTTTGTGTACCAAAGGAATGGTTTCCACGGAGAGGAAAAAAGCTGAAGAATTATGGATGGATCACCCAGCTTAACAAGTGCAGTTCTTTTTCCTCTCAGATAGCCTTCACAATTAATTCTAGCTCTCACGTATTTGAGATTACAGGCTATAAGTATAGGAAACTGTTTTACATCAGATTGAACATTTGGATTCAGGCCATGAACGCCAGCTCTGGCTAACAGTGACTTTCCAGGTCACTGAGTCATTTCTACTTGAAGATGCCACCGTTTGAACCTGGAACCTTTCACATGCAAAGCATGTGCTTTGCTACAACCTACTGTCCCACCTGGCCAAGAGGGGGCTTCTGGTTCAGAGATCCAGACAGGATTAAGCTCAGACACATTTCATTTTCAACACGAAGTACAAAAGCCAACTGCCTGTTGCCGGGGGACCTGCAGTCCTGCATCCTCCTCAAGGAGCTAAGCTTGAAATGTAGATAGTCACATATTTTTTTATGCAGTCCTCTATTTGAAGCGC